GAGGAATGGCCCCTTTCAAAGTGGTAAATGATTAATTCACAAAGCAGTAGGGAGTATTTTAATATACTTTAAGCAAACCACTTTGTACACTCTTGGGTAGTGTCAACCCCCATTATCGCTGTAAGCAGAACATGGTTGTCAGACAATCTTGAAGAAAGAGTGTTTCTTTTCCTTTTTGACGATTAGAAAAAAATAATGATACTTGAAACAATGTTGACTTTAAAATAGTACACATCTGCAGAATTTTGGAAGTGCCGAGTGTTTGTAGAAAAATTCAAAACTTTCAAACAATGACAGCGGCACCCTTCAAAAAAGCAGGGATATTCTCCTTTTTCCCCTCACTTAGCTCCTTAGCTCTACTTTTTATTTGCAGTTAAAACAAGATGTTTTCCCCGTGTGATTTCAGCGGCTTAAAAGCTAAACTCCTAATTTTGGTGGTAGTGGTGGGGGGTGCAATTCACCATCAAAAAAGGACATTTGTTTTTCTTAAGAGTGTTTTTCATGTTATTACAACACAGACTTTACAAAAAGAAAAAGATGTTCATCTGTTTTGTTTTGTTTTGGTTAATGGAAATCCATATGACAGTAATTGTTATTCATATTTTTATACCCCTATTCTGTAAGTGGTCCAGCGAAGACAGGCTGACACCATCGTTCACTGTGGCATCAAAGTGTTGCAACAGTCCAACAGTACTCTGTCCAAAGACCGCTCGCTGTTTTCTTTGGAGAGTGAGCCTATTTTTCTACGGGCCCGGGACCCCGTACAGCCCAGCTTTGTGATGTCAGCCCTTCTCTTCGCGTTTGTGGTTGATCACAGTTGGTCTTGATGGCTCATCAAGTTGTCTTAGCCTTCCAGCTTTTACAGCATTCCTTTCTTTATGTCAGAGAGGTGTTTTTTTTCTCCATCAGCATACACTGTCTGTGCTGTAAAACACACCAGTGAATGGACCAAAGGCTCTGAGGTGCACTCAAGGCCAGGTACATTATGTTGATATTGGAGGAGTTCTGCCCTCCCTCGGAGATGGATGCCACTTTGGACTTGGCCTTCCTTTTGGGGAATCAGTGGGAGGTCACGGGCTTTGAATGTGTGCTTTGAGCTTTGTATGTGAGAAAATAAAGTAACACAGAAATAGAATAAAGCTGCGTGGGGGTAAAAACAAAAAAAAAAGACTTGGAGGAAGGAGAAGAGAGTTTGGTCACCATGGCCTTGGGTTCATGTTAAACAGAGGAGTGATTACCAGTAGTGAGAGCATGAGGGAGGGATGTGAATAAGTGACTGTATGCCCAACAGATGTGATAGATGTCTTTAATAACCTCTAGCTGCTTTTTTAGTTTCCCGTGGGATGTGTTGTTATTAAGAAGCAGGTCTGATTGTGATGACCACCTCTCCTATCGTCCCCCACATCAAACTGGGGCCTGTCCAGACAGTGAAAATAAGCACAAAGCCCAACTTCCCCTGGACATGTGCTGATGTGGCACTTGTTGATGGTGCCTCTGTGTCTCAGCCCTGACCAAGGAAGATGTGGCCTCACATTAAGCAGCAGCGGGACGAAAACAAAGCATAATAGTTGATAATGACTTGTCGAATCACTTGGAATCTGTACCCCAAAGGCCCAAAGCCACCGATCCAACATGAGCGCATTAGGGTGAATTGCAAAAGCATGTTTAGGTAAATGTTGTCTGATGGTTTGATAAGCGTTTCCATTATGGGTGAGGAAGGAAGAAGGAAAGAGAGGGGCTCACTGGGAATACACAAAGGACCGTGGGACTCGTAAGAACTCCGGCTCATCACTGCTGGAAACAAAATGAGAACATTTTATTGTGCCTCCATTTCTTCTTCAAGCAACAATCAAAAACTATTTCATTTAGGATATCTAAGTAGATCTCTGCTGTATCGCAGACATAGAGCTGGTGAGGGCCCATGTTTTATTAATTTGGCGGATGAGCTCAGCTATTGATGGTGTTGGCTGCCCATGGGTTCAATTAGGATAATACAGGGAGAGGGGCATATTATGGCCCGCTATTTAAGTGAGGGTATATCTCTTCCTGACAGTTATAGTCCAAATGCAACAAATTGCACCTTGGTGGCTGTGAGCGGCGCCATATCAGTCCTCTGGTGATGAAGCATGGCCGTGTGGCAGGTCAGCCGTGCAGAGACAACATCAGGCGGGGTGAGCCGCGCGGCCTGTCCTCGCCAAGCCAACGACACCAGCCTAAGTTCAGCGTTTTCCCATTCAGTTAATAGAGGCCATTTAGAAAAACAGCAGTCTATACGGTGCTGCCCTGAGTGCATGCTCTACCCAGTCAACCCTAAACAGTCCCACTTAGCACGGCTCCCTCTAAACTATTGCACTTCTTCTCTGCAGCACTCTCTGGTTTGAAAGCCTGTGAGTGTTAACGGCTCAACGGAGCAAAACCGAACCACACAAACAGCACAATTTTACAAATACAAAACAGCGTCTGAATATTCTCACAGGCGTGTAAAAAAAAGGAGGAACGGTCACTGCCTGAGCTTGACAACTAAAACTGCTCAACCTTATCTTTTTTGTTTTGTTTTGGTGATTTGGGGTAAATATCAGTTACGTCACTGTCATGTTTCTATGCTATGAAAACAATTCTCTGTACATTGCCCCTGAAATTGACTGGGTAGAACAGGATGGGAGCAATTACAAATACTGATCCATGAAAACTGCTGGTTCTTTAACTTGTATGTTGAGTCTGTTCAAAGCTTTAAACACTGCAGACACTTATTTAAAGAGTCTCACTTGTTTCTCGGGAGCATTGAGTGGGATGTTTAGGCTAGAGATCCTGAGATAACTCAGTTGTGAACAGGCTAAGAGCAGCAGTAAAGGAGCCGGGGACTCCTTGTGGCGGCAGTGTGAAGAAACTAGAATTGTTTTTAGTTTTTGTTGCTGATTAGGAGCGAGAGCGCCACATTTACTGTACATTTAGAATTTTTGAACCTTTTCTCATGCCAAAAGAGGAGATTAAAAATAACATAATTCTGCATGAACTCCAGAGATTGCTTAACTTGTCAACATGAAAATAAACTAAAAAAAGAAAATATTACATAAACATCTTATCATCTTAATTCCTGACCTGCAATCTATTTCATCATCCCAACCCACTAAGCATTCTCTCTCCTCATTTCCCCTCTCCAGCCAGTCTGAGGCCATAGGGCATTGCTAATGTGCTTGGTGGGTCATTAATTCTCAGGATGGCCAATGGGGCAGCAGAGCAGGCAGGCTTTGTTGTTTGATATTGGGAAGGCAAAGCAGATGTTTGTGTTGGCTGGCAAGAAAAAGCAGCAAACGTGCTGCCAACCAAATCACCATTTCAAGCCAGGCAACAGCTGTCCAAATTCATTTCAGCCAAAGTGTGGCAAAGTGAGGGAAGGTTGACCAGATCAGCTTCAAGTCGATTTCTATTTTTGTTCAATTGTTGTTGTTTTTTTTGTACAAATCAAACTAAATTGCTTGGACAACTGCCATGTGAACAGTTTTTCAAAAACAATCCAGGGCTAATGACATTATGCAAGGAGAAATCCTGTGTGCAAATCTTGAAGCAAATCTGGACACTGATGAATGTAAAGCACACAACCGTTTTCCTGCTCCTGGTTTTCATTGGGATTACACCTTTAAGGAGCAGTGTGGAAACAGAAGAGGAAATGCTCAAACACGCACTCACACACACACACATACACACACACACTCACACAGAGCCATAGACTAACCCAGATTTTTTCTCACTGGCCATGGTAAAAATATAACAATATATGCGCATACATAGACCTAAGAACAAGGACAGTTCATCTCTCCTGGCTTTCCGCTCAACAAATGTGAGCCATTCATCATCAACCAGATTCATATCTGTGAGCTGCACAGAGAAGACAGCGTGGGTGAGTGTTTGTGTGTATGTGGAAACGGATTAAAGATAAATATCTCCTTATTGGCCTACACGTCTATATGCCATTGCTGAATTCACCAGTGTTTGTGAATATTGGACTGTGTGGAAACCCCGTTTGTGTGAATACCCAGAGTGTGCTGCCCTCTCCTGCTCTATTCATGAACATCCACTCTCAGAGCAATTGTTATTAAAAAGACACTGAAAAGGAACTTTGTTTATCAATGCTACTATAGTACTCAAGGATAAATAACTGAACTGTTTGATATAAAATTCATGAAACATATTTTGTACTGTCTCTCTCTGACCACTCATTGCTGTTTTCTATCAGCTACATAAAGGCAAACTGTGGATGCACAACTGAACTTTCATGTCAGTGCAGTACTCCGTCAGTATGTTTGACTGGCACCATCACTCGTATAAACTATTTTTCAAAGCTGCTCATAATTGCATCCTCACCACCTTAATTACATACCACATACAAAGCACTAATGTGATATTTGCAGCAAGAAACAGTCACATTCAAAACAGACACCCTAGATGAAGCCTTTATGAAAGGTTCGCCAACAGCTCACTAATTGACACTCTAGATGCTGCTGTCCTTACAAAAGAGAGAAACTATGCACCTGAGTAAAGAGCTTTGTTGCCGTTGCGTAGAAAGATTCCTAATCATCGGCTCATTTGTCATCTCTCTAATTTGGTAGAGGTGGACTCAAAGCAGGCCAGTAATGAGGACTCTGAGTAGCCAGCTAGGTAACCGTGGTTACACGTGGTGCATTAATGTATGTAATCTGTTACTGTGTCTGTGACAAGGACACGTAGAGTGCTAATTAAAGAAACCTTTCACTGCTCCTCCCTTAGACACAGGTCATGTCTCATTAAAGATGGTCTCGGTGCATGGGGAGTCATTCATTACTGGCTTTTTGGGGAGGAAGGGTGGGCTAGTGGGACCGAAGAACATGCATTACTATTCATATCAACCTAGCAGGTATATCATGACATTATGAATAGACAGACAACCTGCCAACACAACATTAGGACGTGCTGTGCATGGGGAACTCAAAACATGTTAGGAAATACAAGTCAAACTGTCTTTGTTCAAAATCTAGTTTTATTTTAAAATAAGAGGATGTCCACCCAAAAAAAAAAAGATCCATGTCACATTAATAAAGTATATTTCTAAATACAAAAAATATGTAATTAAAAAAAATAAAACCACATCTCCAAAGTCTATTCATTTTGACACATTGATTTAGAAAAATAAAAATAAACAAACTACTTTCGGGTCTACCGGTCCTGCTTAAAGAGAAGGCGCCATATTACCTTACATCAGGATTTTTTGTGCACAGGGATAGTCACTCAGCAACCATTGAATGTTATTGTGCAAGCCAGGAAGCTTGTCTGCAGTTAAAACAGCGTTTCAGAGAATCCAATAATATTGCAATCCAAGCCTGTGGAATGCAACTCCTTCTTGACAGAAATATCTGCTTGTTCCTACATGCATCAACACCACAGCAGTCCCACACAAACATTAAAGGCTGAGAAAGCATGAAATGTGGAAAGTTGTAGTTAAAGCTGGAGTATGCAGTAATATTTTTGGCATAACAGGGCACACATTCTATGACAATCTTTCACCATATTGTGTTCCAACTGGCCTGAAATTAAACTTGTGGCCTCAACTGTGTGACAATTGCACAAATTAGTCTGAAAGCTTTCATTTTTTAATTTATTTTTCAACTGCTGATGGGTGTTATCAGCAGGAACTGACGAAAATGTCACTTCGTATGATCTGACAAGCCAACGGCAAATTACAGCTACAAAATGTGTGACATGGTCCTGAGGCAGAACAATTTAAGCAAAAGGCTCAACAAAGGAAATGTAACTACTGACACAAACATTGACTGTGAAGGTGTTCACTTCAGCTGTGGTGGTTCTTTCCAAAATACCCCAATGGTGTTTTACTGGACAGCCATATCAAACCTGCCCCTGCTAAGATTAAGGAATCATTTGCCAAACACTTGCCAGGACAGATGGAAATCTATTTTGATGGGAGGCCGATACACTTAAATAATTAGCTTTTTCCTTCAACCGGTTTCTAGGCTACATAGACTACTACGAGCTCCCCAATTGCTCGATTTCAGGCTTTAATTCCCCCCAATCCCCTTGAAAAAAAGATCTGATCAATCAAAGCCTGGCTTCCTCTTCGCTACTCTATGACATGTACTTTCCCACTTAAGGCAGTGTTATCGTTAAGGATAAGTTGCTTTTGCAGCATTGGTTAAAAGATGCCGACACTGGAAAAGCAACCAAAAGGGAAGCGCGCAGATTAGTCTGAAAATGAGCAGATTAAAGCATGCATCGTTATATTGTCAAAGCAAACTTTACATTCATATGCCTGTATGCATCTGAAGGTTTGGAGGGCAGCAAGAGAGAAATATTTTCAAATTGACCTGTTTAAATGTCCTTTTCTGGCTACCTCAGCTTTCACAGATCTTGACACTGTTTTGTTTTCTCTTTGAGATGTTGTGGGAAGGCTCAGACAGTAGATATACTCATGTGTTTAACATAATCACCAAAGCAATCATGCTCTTTATTCCTTTGTATGGCCTTATTTAATATCAGAACTGTTGTGATTCCACATTAATCACCCTATTTTCTCATTAAAAAGAAAACAAGTTTAGGTTATTATCTGTAATTGACACAAATTAAATAAACTTCACTCGACACTACTTCATCTTCAGGATTAAGCTGTCAGCGGATAACTGTCACCGGCAAAACACCCCTTTAATAAGTATATGGAACTTTGTCTCTCTTGGAAATAGTTCAATTCTTCATGTCAACTATATGACTGACGTGCAAAATTGGTGCTTTTACACTTGTCAGATGTTTTTTTGTTCTATAATGTGGATACCTTCCCCACAGTCAAATTGTTTGTTGTGTCAATTTTCACCAAATTGTATTTTTGTACAACAAATAAGACAAACACGGAGAAATGTGAACTTTAGAAACAACGAAACTAAATAATATTCTAACAATCATACCATTATCTGCACCAGTAGCTGAATTTACTCTAATGCAGTTATTATACTACTAGTCAAATACAGAGAATGAATGGAAGGATTTAACGCTGAGTGTAATTGCTAATGAAATATTCGGAATAGCAACCAAACATTCTCTGTCCTGGGAGTGCTATGAAATGTTTTAAAATGTATGGCCCTGCCTTAGATCCGATCCTATTTTCTACAACCTGACTCCTCAACAATTAGCTATTAGCTAATTAATTACAAATAGCTATTATCTATACAACAATTTCGAATAAATATTTCTTAACTAAATAGGAGTGGGGAAAACCTAGCACCCACACCAACGTTTAATGGATCATTCAGTTTCTTCTAAAAGAGTCCATGTCTAATATAAAAGCAAATGAGCAGTCTTAGACAAGTGCATATTCTCCCTGAGACTGGTCCATGTTCTTACAGAAATCTAATCCAGCATTATCCAACCCATGTGTCTCACTGTAGGACTAAACAAGTCATTACTGGCCTAAAATGGTATTTGGTGCTGCTTTGGCAGCATTTAAGACAAAGCACAAGGTTTCTCTACCAATCAGATCAGTCACTCTAATAAGGCTCTCAGAGCAGCAAGTAAACCAGACCGATCCCAACATAAGCTGATAAAAAATAGGTTTTAAGTTAATCACAGTTCTCAGAGTAATTATTGCTCAACTGAAAATCATCTTGATTTTTTTGACAGATAAACCATCCCCATATACCTAACCAGAGGCTGACCTTCACACACATATGTATAGCGTGGTGAGATGCCACAGTAACTGGAGATAAGTGGGGAGGAGCTGAGAGAGGTGTTTCAGCATGTGATGCTGTGATATGTTTCAGATCCTCAGTCCTTTGGCGGGTGGAAGAGGGCCGTTACTGCATCATGTGTCTCTGAGGTGACCTCGGCTCTGCAGGCTCTGGAAGTGGGCCTCCTTGAGGATGCGGTTGATCTGCAGATATGACACCTGGCTAGTTGGGCCGAGGAGTTCTGAAGAGCTGAGGGGACTGCAGGGGCCCACAACACACTGACTGCCCGCTGCATGTTCTGGACTGCTGATGCCGCCCCCGCTGCTGCCGCTGCTGCTGGTGCTGCTCTCACTATTGGAAGACTGTTTGATGAATCAAAATAATGATCTAAGTTAATTTTCTGTTTGGAAATGTATGGACAAAACCTGCAAGTTTGAAGTAGGGACATGAAATCTGCTGAAACTAGATAACACAAAGACCTAATATGCATTATGCCTTATACTGGCAGCATGTTTATATGTTTTATACGTTATTATTATCAAGTTCGCTCAATTCAGAAACTGGAAGAGAGCTGGGAATGTGTTATTTCTGTGAATGTTATGGTTATGCGGAACAGTACCGCTAACAGTACCACGAAAGGAGGCAGAGGGGAAAAAGACAGCGAACGAAAGAGTGATGTTTTTCAAAATAATTAGCATTACATAGCTGGATTTAATTTAATGAAGTTTTTGTGGAAAATTCAAATCTGCACCATCTTAAAAAGATGGTTTACTTAGGTTTAACTTTTCTCAAAACCTTGTAGCATTTTCAGCTTTATTTCACCCGTGGCACACTATGATGTGCTTGCTCTGATTTTATACCTTCTTCCAGAGCAAATTAATAACATCTGAGCAAACTGTGCCAATTAACAAGTTTACCCAGATGAAGCTGAGTTTTTTTATATTCTTTACATATTTCAATGTCTATGTCACTGTGCACATTAGCCATACTAATGTTCATGAAGGAAAAAATAGATGTCTTACATTTAGCAAGTTACAGTCATGGCCAGTAAATTTGAACAAAGGCCAGTCGCTTACCTGTTAATGCATGCCTAAACATTATGAATGCAATGATAGAATTTGTTTTTCAAAAGGCTTTTTTTTTTTTATAAAGATTTAAAAAATGCATTCAATGTACAGCTCTGTGGACGTTTGGTTTTACCTCAGAGTCCCAGGCATCCCGCCCTGGCACAGGGGAGAGGGGGTGAGCTCTGCTCGGCCTTTTGGCTTGGGGCACCAGGTGACCGTTCTCCTCATCAGCACAGCAGCGCTGCCGTTTTCTGTAATGGGGGAAAACCATTAAGTATCCTTACTGGGCAACAAGCCTACAAAAAGCAATAGTTTCACAAACATCTTGGGCACAAAGGCAGGGACATTATAAAAAAAAAAGCACTTCACTTCTTTCTTTTTTTAAACAGAGGATACATTAAGTAAGTGAACGTAATCCACTGTCTATGGTTACTTGCTTTCGCCCCACTGTTTTCATATTAGGTCCATAAAATGTATACGTATCAGATAACAAACCTATCTCCAATGTATCCAAACAACCTGGATAGTTGTATTACAAACAGCACATCAAAAGACAAGTTAGTCATGGAACTGGAAACAGATTATGTTGAGTTGTTGTTGCAACGCAAAAACAAATAGCTGCTCAGCATTTCTAAGATGGTTTCCGCGACCTGTGAATAAATAACCCACTATGTTTAAAACTGATAACATGGTATATAGCATTTTAAAGCCGGCTTACCTGTTTTCAGTCAACATATGATGACTCTTTGTGAAACTGGAGGAGCTTCTTTTTTATTTTACAAAGGCCTGAGAGGGCCACACGGCTTTCTGATGTCAGTTGATAGCCTCCCTAAAGCTAACTTTGCTTATCCAGCTAATTATACTGAATAATGATAAGATAATATGATCCCAATTGGCTACAAACATAAACTACTTAAAATTATTACAAAACATAAACGACTCTTAAGTAACGTTAATGATAAATATGCTGCAAAATGTCGGCGTTAACCAGCTAGCTGATAACAAGCCAGTCTCAAGCGCTTTGTCATTGGTTATAAGCAGACGCTAACGTCACCGTCAACTATCGCTGCCGTTTTATTCGACGTTATTGCCAGTAGTTCCCGAATATATATATTAGGCAGTAAATATTAAGTTTCCCGTAGGCCAGGATAAGCGTATAAAGAAGAAGTAAATTAACAGGCCTTTAGTACCGACTAACTGAAGTCACCATGTTCACTCGAACATATAAACGCGAGTTCTGTTTACATGTCAATACGCATGCGCAGAGACATGGTGCCTTTACGGTCCGTGGGTGTTTAAGCACTTTTGGACTGTTGTGCAACCTACTCAGGGCCTGATAAATATTAGATACAAATAGCAGGATCTAAGAATGATTACTTTACGACGTCAAATTCATGCTTTTCGAGCCTACTTGGCAGGTAATGCAGAACCTGCAGGGGAGTGCCTTGTGCAAAACAAAATAAGGCACAAATTGTGCGCAACCTAAAGCTTAACAAATTTAACTTAAACACCATCTCTGGTCTGTCATTTAAATCCCTCCCATAGAATGTTATACAATCCGAATTATTATGAATCCCCCGAATTGAATCGATGTTTACATTAGAAAAAACTGGACGTTCCGAATGATCGAAATAGATATTTAATGTAACACATCAATATCCTAAACAGAGAAAACCTCAAAGTGTGGGGCAATAAACAGTAGAGATTTGTTTTTTATACTGCCCAATTGTTCATAATTGTAGTGGTAAGCATACAATCTGAGTAAATTGTTACCCGGAAGTTACACACTGTAGCCTATGCCCAGACAACCAATGGTTTAAAAAAAAAAGAAGAAAAAAACACGCCTCCGCCAATGAGTCAAGCTCAGAACGGAGGTAAGATTATCAGGGATTCTCAGTTGCAGCGGACCTGCGTGTCCACAGGGAATCGACCGCAATGGGCAGCAGCGACTCAAAACTCAATTTCAGGAAGGCAGTGATTCAGCTTACGACCAAAACACAGGTATGTTCGCTTTCATAATGCTGAATAATGCGTATAGGGAGCGCAAGCCGATGAGCGCACAGAGGAGCATCACCGAAGAGATGAGCTTCATACGAGGCTGGGAATTAAACTGTCTCTGCAAACGGATATTTATATTCATTTAATGTTTTGGATGGAAATGTTAAATGCCCACGCGTAAAGATGTCATTTTTACCGTTTAAATGAGTCGTGCTGATCACAAATTGAATTAAATGCATCTCGATTCGTGGATGCAAATCACCATAACCCTTCATTCAAGCAGTGGCTTACGTATTTGGTTTAGATTAGAATAAATGATGGCATTGAGCAACATAATGGTTGATGACGTAAGTCCGGTAATAACCACGTTTTAAGATGCGGCAGGTGCAGTGTGCTTAGGGAAGCGTACACACTAAGGCCTGCACTTATGCTAGAGCAAACATTACTATTAGATATTGGGTGGTTTATGTAACTGATGAGTCTCAACAACAATGTAGGGCTTTGTATTCACATCAAAAAGGGCAACATTACTGTTTAACCCAATTCAGTGTGATATCAGTTAGCACATTGAATTTAAGATAAGTTTTATCTGACTCATATCGGAAAATAAATCTGAACATATATTTTACAGCCCGTGGAAGCCACAGATGATGCCTTCTGGGACCAGTTCTGGGCTGACTCCACCACCACAATCCAGGATGTTTTTGCCCTGGTGCCAGCTGCTGAGATAAGAGCTGTACGAGAGGAGTCCCCATCAAATTTAGCAACCCTGTGCTATAAGGTACACATTGAACATCATTCTAACAGTTGGCTATCTGAAAATAGGATCTTGTTGATGAGAGGAGATTTTACGTCATGGGCATGCTCACATTAAAGTGACACTGTGGATTAATGTTGTTTTGAACCAATGCAGGATTTGGTTTGACGAACCCTGCCCAGTTTCTGAAAAGTGGGAATGAATGAGTCAACTCCCCCTTCCTTTTACTTTGCTTCCCGTTTTTTGCTCCAGTTTTTTTCCAGTTTCCGTTTGAAGCTGCCTATCAGAAACAAAACAGCCGCACAGAGGCGAAAAACATTATTAGATAAAGACGAGGAGAGGAGAGCCCTTCAGCTAAGTTATTCATGGGGCTTGTTACCTATTTTAGAAATCAGCTGCCACAGGCTGTTAGAAGTGAACTGGAGATTATTTTTATCCAATAAAAACACTGGTTCTTCTTGATAAATGATGAAATTTAACATACTAGGTGGAGACTCAAAGTTTTTGCATAACATAGAGTTCCATTTTACTATTTGGAGTAATGTACCTTTAACAATCTCATGCCCATTTACACACAAAGTCTTAGCACACATTAGTGATGTCAATGCCTGCTTTTAGAAATAGAAAAATATATTTCCTTTCCTTTGAGATAAAACATAAAATTTGAGTGTTCTTGTGACCCATGTTATCTGATTCTCCAGGCTGTGGAGAAACTGGTACAGGGGGCAGAGTCTGGTTGTCCATCTGAAAGGGAGAAGCAGGTCATCCTGAACAGTACTCAGATCCTGACCCGCATTCTTCCATACATCTTTGAGGACCAAGACTGGAGGGGATTTTTCTGGTCAACAGTGCCTGGTGCTGGTCATGCTGGGGTGAGTGCGCAGGACGATGAAGTAAACTAAGGTTCTGACAATTTTTTGAAGTTTACGTCAAATTTATAGTCTCAACATTGAGTGCTGCTGTTTAAACCTGTAAGTTCATTAGATCAATAACAATACAATAATATTCTTTTAACATTTACCATCACTTTGTTTAGTTTCCCTTTTGTTGTCGGATTGTCCTGTGTGGTTATTTTGGCCATTGGAATTTGACTGGTATGTCTGAGCACTTCTGTTTTAAGTGGGTGCTATAAACTCCTCCCAGAGGAAACACAAATGCAGACACTGTTTATGAATTGAGTTTCAGTGGTCAGGTTTGAAAGTTGCTCTTTGCATTAAACTGTAGTTTGAAAAGGTGTAACTACACACGGGAATGATAGGAACATCTGTCTATTCTTCTGGTGCAATCTTCTGTAGTTTATTTACCATCTCAGTGTTGGTCTCAGTGTGTTTTCTCTCCTCCTTTGGCAAAGTTATTATACTGACTTGAGTGTGACAGTTTATTTTAGTTTTTTCATGATCGCTGCTTAATTACAGACTAGACACAACTATGGATTGTTATACAAGGCTGTTAGAATGTTTTACTTGGTCTGATTGGTCACAATAACCCTCACCCTTTACAGTGAAATGAGTTTTTGCTGGGCTGTTATTTGGCATTGTTTCCAAACCAGAACTGGAACCTCTTCAGTGGAAGAGAGGCACGACATGCTTCATCATCCTGAAGATGCAATTACTCTTAACATGTCCGCTGAGGTTAAAAGCAAAAAGATTTTCTTGAGTGTCAAATCTGTCATTCATCTGTTCCAACCGGGGTGGCTGTGGCTCAGCTATAAGAGCAGTTGCCTGCCAACGGGTGGTTTGATCAGAGGCTACAGGTCGGGGTGTCTGCAGCATAGCCTCAAGTGGCGCAGTGTTCTGCGTCCTGTTTATGCCAGCCCTAAGCTCAGTGAAATGTGAGGGTTGTGTCAGGAAGGGCGTCTGGTGTAAAAACTCCTGCCAGAATCTACCATGCGAGTCAAGGCTGACATGCTGTGACAGCGGAAAAAAAGGCAAGAAAAATTTTGTTGCCAGAAAGCTAATAGTGAAGGGGTGGAACCCTCTGTATTGGAGTGAATAGAAAAAACTTTTTTTTGTAGCCTAACACAGATCTACTGTTTTTCAGACCGATGAGTTGGATGAAGATGATGGTGCTCGACCACTCGCTGAGTCACTGCTCCTGGCTATTGCTGACCTTCTCTTCTGCCCAGACTTCACTGTGAACAGCCACAAGAGAGGCCCTGTGAGTACCTGCCCTGGCACTGTTCAGTCCGGTATCCAGTCTCATTGTTATGGTTTCAGTTATTCTGGTCTCATTAAAACCATTTTTTTCCCGTAACTCTAGTTTGTTGTTCTAAAGGTTAAGCACATTTTTTGGGCACTGTTTCCTTCTTCCTGATCTAAAGTCACCTGACTAACCTGTCTCTCGAGTTTAGCAGAAAAGACAATATAGAAAGAGACACTGCCAGTTTGTCCAGGAAGAATTCCTTTTCCCTCATGAGTATGACAGGAATGTTGCATCCCATACTGATACTTTTACCTTACAGTAAATGTTAACGTTTCCATTTTAAACAAAATTTGAAGTGAAACTCTGCTCTTAAAAAATGATTAACTATATGACACTTTTCTTCTAATAAATTGTCTATTGATGGATTGAAGGAATTATAACCTGTTCAGTGCAGACCCACAGTTTTCTATCTGATAAATGTTTATGCTGTCTTTTCTTTTTGTGACTGTATCCAGGACTCAGTCGAGAGCATGCAGTCTTTAGATAGCTGTGAGTACATCTGGGAGTCAGGAGTAGGGTTTGCTCAGTCTCCTCCTCTCAACTACATCCATGATCTGAATAGGTAATTCTGCTGTCTTTGCAGGGGTTTTGCAATATTTGGTTCCCAAAATGTTTTCTCCTCACATTTTACTTCATGACTTAGATATTTCTGCTTGTGTTTGTCCTTTCTCCACTTAAGGACAGAGTTGCTGAGATTGTTACTCACCTGCTTCTCGGAGGCCATGTACTTGCCACCTTCATCAGACAACCATGTCCTTAATCCTTGGGTGACATTCTTCTGCTCTACAGAAAATAGGTAATATATGTACATATATTTTTTTACAAAGTTAAGTTTCATGCTGATACCATTTATTTGATTAATAAAACAACTGACTAAAACAAGACATTTCATTACAAGTTGCAGCTTGACTTTCTTTGAGATGTTTTGTGTGATGTGTTTTTTTGATTGATTAACATGTCTCCATGATTTTCTCCACAGACATGCACTGCCTCTGTTCACGTCTCTGCTCAATGTGGTGTGTGCTTATGATCCGGTGGGATATGGCATCCCATACAACCACCTGCTTTTCTCCGACTACCGGGAGCAGCTGGTGGAGCAGGCAGTGCAGATCCTCATTGTAACGCTGGAGCATGATGGTGGGAATCCCCACCCTCCTGCCTCACAATCCAGCATAGAGGAACAAGAGGTATGGCTGGGGCATAACCACTGAATCCATTTGTTGTGATATGTTTTATGCTCTATTCACATAAAGCTATTTTTATTTATATAGTCTACAGGTCCAGAAAATCTATTTGTGAATTATTTGTCAAGGATTCACAGAGAAGAGGTATGCCTATCTTTTTTTTTTTTTTTGCTGATATCTGTGTAAAACATTTTTATTTAAAGCATATTCTGTGTTTTCCCAATGGAAGGACTTCGACTTTGTGCTGAAGGGCCTTGCTCGTCTCCTGACCAATCCTCTGACTCAGACCTACTTGCCTAACTCCACAAAAAAGATCCATTTCCACCAGGAGCTGCTGGTGCTTTTTTGGAAGCTGTGCGACTTCAATAAGGTTGAGTTGTACACAATTAAGCTTTAGTGAGGTTTTAGAGGAGTTTGTGCTTTATTGTGACAGCAAAGTCGATTTTGTTTTCTCATTACAGAAGTTCCTATTTTTTGTCCTGAAGAGCAGTGATGTGCTGGATATTCTAGTCCCTATACTGTTTTATCTGAACGATGCCAGAGCCGACCAGTGTGAGTCTCCTCTTTTTCTTTATTTAACCAAACTTCCATTTGACAAACACTCATTAACTTCTAGTATGCTTGCTGCAGCACGTGTTGGACTCATGCACATTGGTGTGTTCATTTTACTACTGCTGAGTGGAGAGAGAAACTTTGGCGTGCGCTTGAATAAGCCATATTCCCTCCATGTGCCAATGGACATCCCGGTCTTCACGGGGACCCACGCTGACCTGCTCATAGTGGTAAGACATACCTGGCCCACTGCTAATGATAAACTTGTTTTCTATCTTGTGGGAGTACTGTTAAATAACACAGCTTTGTTTGCTTTACAGGTTTTCCACAAGATAATCACGACGGGCCATCAGCGTCTCCAGCCTCTCTTTGACTGCTTACTCACCATTGTTGTGAATGGTGAATCTCTTTGTTTTGTTATCCAAAACATCAGCATAGAAATGTTGTAGGCTACATGTCATAAAAAGCAGTTGTCACATATGTTTTAATTGCATAGGAACAATGTATTAAAATGCCTCATAAATATCTCTTCGGCTTCTTCCTCAGTTTCCCCATATCTGAAGAGCTTATCTATGGTCTCCGCCAATAAACTGCTCCACCTGCTGGAAGCCTTTTCCACCAACTGGTTCTTGTTCTCCGCTGCACAGAACCATCACCTTGTTTTTTTCCTCCTCGAGGCTTTCAACAACATAATTCAGTATCAGTTTGATGGTAGGAGAGAAAGTTGTGGAAATACAGTGGCAGTGTGATGTGGAATTATTAAGGTTGAAGCTTTTGCAGGCGCATTCACTCATGTAACTCTTGTCACTCCCAGGAAACTGCAGTCTGGTGTATGCCATCATCCGCAAGAGAAATGTGTTCCACCAGCTGGCCAACTTGCCCTCTGACCCTTCTTCAATCCAAAAGGCTTTGCAGAGGAAGAAGAAGACGCCCGATGTAATTTCTCGCACGAGTTCCCAAGAGACTGTATCCATGGAGGGCTCACACCCGGCTGTGCCAGCAGAGCCTGGCACGCTGAAGACCAGCCTCGTCGCTATACCAGGTACTGTTATTTTTAGTGCCTTTTTCAAATGTCTGGATTAGCATATCATCTGTTCATTGCATATATAAAGAGCAATGAATAAAAATATGATTTTTTGCTTTTTACACAATTAAATATTTAATTAGCAGAAAACATCAAATATACCAAACACTGAAACTGAAAATTAGGCACCTAAAAAAGCCAGGGGCTGTGGTTTTGAAAATGAATGTTTTTTCTTCCATTTTTCCCTGACATTATTTATGAAACCAAAAGCATTTAGAAGCACATATAAACAAATCCCTTTGAAATTATTTTTTGCTCAGGGACTATTATCTTTTGTCTTGCATTATACATCACACATAAACTAATTTCTGTTCCAACAGTGCCAAGAAAAGTCGATTGTAGGAGATATTCTTACGTTTTTCTTCATGAAAGGATACAAATGAAAGAAAAAAAAACAGATTCAGGCAGCTTACAGTTGTAAGTTTTGGCTGTTTTGTTACACACTTATTAATGTTATATTTGATGCTTCCTTTAGGCATTGATAAACTGACAGAGAAGTCCCAGGTATCAGAGGATGGCACAATGGTGTCAGTCCCAATAAAGGACTCCCCACACACAGTCCATTCAGAGCAAAACGCAGCTGCTGGGACCAGTGACACCGAGTCAAACTCAGGCAGAGACAATGAAGTAAGTGTCTCACTTTCACTGCATGTATGTGTTGGCTTGGGTGTAATAGAATATTTGTAAGTCTGTTCCTGCACATTTTTAGGATGTTTTCTACACGGAAGCAGAGATGGAGAGAAGGCGTCTGTCAAGTGCATCTTCAGCGTCTTTATGGGCTCCCACGCCAGACTGGGTCAGTAAAATCTCACCGCCTTTATTTCAGTGCTCTGCGTTGGATATTTGTCAAACAGATTATTTCATTTAGAGTTGCTTACTTCTTCCCAGGTCCTCTCTTGGAAGTGCAAGTTACCCTTACAGACAATCATGCGTCTTCTACAAGTGCTCGTTCCCCAGGTGGAGAAGATTTGCATCGACAAGTCGGTTTGACTTTAATTCTTTTTTTGTACAAAAGATTTATAGTGGCTCTCATTAAATATCCCCAGAAACTCTGCTGGATAGTATCTTTCTTTTTCTGCAGGGGTCTGACAGATGAATCGGAGATTCTGAAGTTTCTGCAGCATGGCACATTAGTGGGTTTGCTGCCAGTTCCTCATCCCATCCTCATTAGAAAGTATCAGGCCAACGCTGGCACTGCCATGTGGTTTCGTACCTACATGTGGGGTGTTGTTTACTTGCGGTAAGCCAGGCATAAAAAGTGTGCTAAATCTGAACACTGACAACTTATTTTGTGTGAAAAACTAATATATTTTGTTTTTTCTAGCAATGTGGATCCTCCCATCTGGTATGACACTGATGTCCGCCTTTTTGAGATTCAGAGGATGTAGAAAGAAAGCTTTTTTGACTCAAAAACAGACTGTGCTGACTCCAGGGTCCCTCCTCCCTTCAGTATCTGCTGGTTTCCTGGTAAACTTCACTGTGTAAAACTTCCTCATAATCATAATGCCTGAACCTTTCACTATCAATGAAGGAAGATTTGATGTGTAAAGAAAATTGTTCGTATATTTCTCTTAACTTCAAGACCACAGAATGTCTGTCCAAACATTACTGTTGTGTTTCCTGAAGGCCGAGCATTTTCTCTTTACATCTTAGAGGAGGAAACATTTAACTATCAGCAGATTTCTAATAGAGGACATGTAACCTCTTTTGGATGGCAAAGTATCGATGTTTCATATTTATTTATTGTTCTTGCTATGCTTTAAAGTGAGCTTGCACCATTGTAGGTCGTCTGTTACGGTTGTTGTTTATGTGATGTTTGGAGACAATGATACAGATTATATGTTTTTATGTAAAAGACCAGGGTTTATTTTTGATCTTGGTGGCAATGCTCACAGTGCTTACTACATAAAATATTATTTTCCTGAAACTGTCCTTAAAATATAGATTATTATTAATGTGTCAGTTCTGTTTTGATTGTATTATTGAACAGTGAACTTCAGCCGAAAATCTTGAAAATGTTTGAATGGATCCTGGCAAAAATGAGCATTATATATTGGAAATCTTGAAATCTCAAATTAAAATTCTCAAATGAGCGCTTTTGAAAGCAGCACTTTCCAATATTGGCCACTAGATGGCACCATTTTCCCATTCAGAGCTCAACTTGTCAGGTACTCTTGCATTACATAAACTACAACTCATTAATTTATTTTTCAAGATAAGTCACTAAATATTTTGATAACCAATTAGATTCAATATAGAATGCTGGCAGCATATCAAACGTGGCCCTCATGTGAACAAACATATGCTACCTATTTGAATTTAAACCTGTACAGCAAAGCAACCACTGAGCATGCATAATGAGATGTTCTTTAAAGTACTCACAGTAGAAATAACCATCCAAGTCATTGTAACACAATCACAACCATTAATTCCAGGAAATCACATTTAAAAAAATGTGGAAACCAACACGTTGCACGCTAACTTCCGTACCAGTCCCCAATTCCTAGCATTGCAAGATGGGAATGTATGAAGAAATAACTGCATTTTAATAAGAATAAGCTCTGGCAGGAGGGGAGGGAGACCATGCCCTGTATCCAATTTCAGTTTGAGAGAACAGGCAGGAAGGACTACGAACACCAAGCCAGCAGCTCAGGGATACATGCTGAGAACACAAGTTAGTGACAATATTAACGTCAATTTTACAGGAGAGGTGCACAATGAGAGCTCCCAAGTCAAGGTCATCGGATTCAACGATGGGGTGTTGCAGGGTTACCTGAACCATGCCCAACTATAAGCTTTGTTAGGGAAAGTTTTGCCAAGGGAAAGAGACACACCCTTCAGCCAGAACTTGATTTTATGGTGGTTGTGGTGTTCCAAAAGTCAACCCACATTTTTCTACATGAAAAAGCCACAGCGACAGCAAAATTTTGTATTGTGTGTGTACTAAATACAGATAATAAAAGACATCTGTGAAGGTGCCACATGCTGGGTGACCTCACCCAAGCCAGGTGAAATGAAAAGCACAGTCTTTCATTGTCTTTACACAAGCCAAAATGTGACCTCCAGTATATATCTTAGAAAAAAATAGGCTATGCACTGGTACCTCTATGCATCTTATTTAATATTCGCATTTCACTTGTTAGGTGAAGTGATTTTTCAGCATGCTGCAATGGATTGGTGATATCCACACCTGAAATATCTACACTGTTATAAGCAGTACCACAGCTTAGATCATCAGACTGTGTGGCACAGTCTCCATCCTTTCTGGCAGTCTATGGAGATCTGGGCAAACACTGGTTTTTACTGTTCCAATATTGGAAGGATGGAGCTTAGGAATAACATTTTTGTGGTTTTTCCACAATATATGTATATATATATATATATATATACACAGACAGAATAAGCAGTTTAAAGTCTGATCAAAGACTTTAAAAAAATTATTAAGAACGAAAAAGTGAATCAGCGTTTTCTCTAACATTGCAAAACAACCTGATGCAAGACACATGACAGGAAAAAGGCCAGTGAAATTAGAAGTTAGGTGATTAAGGACGTTTCTTGCCTGGCACCAAGTACCACCACTTTAACACCAATTATCGTTTGACCTTTATCTCAAAAGGTGGCCCGATCAGCATAACAATGTTCCTATTGCCGTTTTACACTTGTTTCATGCACGTATCTGGAAAACTATATGGGATACTGTTTCTTTCCATTGGCATAGACCTGCACGAGTCTGCTGGTCACATTCCTGTAGGTGACTCAGTGACGTAGGTCAGGTGGTGCCAACTCGTGCCTGTTTTGCAAAGGTCACTTCATAGGTTGAGGTCACCAGTTCAGTGCGTTACAACTGTTTGTGTTTACGCACGTCCACTTCCAAGAAGCAGCTTTAGCCTCCCACAGACAGTCAAAATAGTTTATGTTACTGAAAACATAAACAAAGAAGCTCACGTTTTCAATTGACTAAAAGTTCCATACATGAAATGAAACAGCACCAATTAGCTTTTGAGTGTGTCTAAAGAAGATTTGTAATAGTGAATATTTTAATAACTCTCTCCCTCTGACTCTGTGTCGGTGTGTGTTCTTATATCATGCGTGCTTGTTCCAAGAATCAAAATGATTGGAAATGTTGCGACATAACATTTTTCCTGCAGACTCAAGGAAACGTGTTTTGATAAAACACTAAAGATTAAGCAATGTCATTTCAAGGCCAAATGTATTTTTGAAATCTCCTTCTAAACGAACAAGACGCAAACTGACATGCACATTCTACTAAATTTAGATCCACCATATGAGGATAATAGTATCAGTGGTACTTAATTACTCTCATTATTGTGTGTGCTGATGAATTTCTGTGCTATAATACCACACGTTACCAAATAAACAAGTTCTGGCCTTAACCAAGTTCTTAGTGGTAATTTATCCTCTATTATGTCTACAAATTCAGCAAATTATATAGAATTTAATTAACAGACTGGATTCCCCACGTCAGTGCAGCGTCTTTTAATCATACTTTTCACCTTTTCACGAAACTCAGAGCCTGTTGATTAATTTTCACAGTAAACCTTTCAACAAATGTTTTTCTTGCAAAAACAAGTCTTACTGCTATCAATTCACTCAATATTTGTTAATACTGGAGAAACAATCTCATTAAATCCCACAAATCGGCAAATTTAGAGGTGAGAATATTTTTTATGTACAAAAATGTCTTTTTCTCAGGCTGAAATGTTCGCAAATCTTTTACAGATCACCTGCTCGAGCAAGGTTATTGTTGTTTATTGCTCATTAACTTTACCAGTAAGCACTGTGCAGTCGCTTGCTAGTCACAAGTTTGGAGACAAAGGTCAGACCTCACGCTCTCTGACTGTCACAAATCGTCAAGATGCTGAAAACACCAGATCTGCTCCTGTTCTTCTGCCTTGTTGGGGCAACAAATGCTCTATACAAACAATGGATTCCTGACACTAACTATGCGAATGGGACCAACTGGGACAAGGGAGATGTCCCATGTGGCAATGACATTGCACTTTTTCCAGGTCAAAAGAAAGTGTCTGTGTTCGTGGAGAGCATGCACGCCGTGCGGGAGATGAGGCTGCCCATCGATGGAGAGTTCATATTGAATCCAGGGGCTGGCTTTTATGTGCTCAGCGGACAAGACCCCGGTTGTGGAGCGGGTGTGACGGCCCAGTTCAAAGATTCAGAGCCTCTTCAGTGGTTTAATCCGACGTTGTGGCAGGCGGCTGCAACTCTGGATGACCTGCAGCATGGAAACCTACTGTTTTCCGTCCACGAGGAGAGTGTCCCCTGTCAGCATGATGATGTTGTCTTCAAAGCCTTGTCCTCCTTCAGAGTGGACACCGGCTCCAGTCAGGCAAACATCCCTGTCAAGTCTGTGTCCGTTCTGGGGAAGATGTTTGAAAGAAAATCTGATTTCTACAAATATCTCAGGTCAAAGTCCGGGCAACTGCAGTTTCAGGGGTCCTCGGCTGTTACCATCGGGAACCCGGGCTGTCAGGACCCCTCTGGCTGTGACTGTGGGAACTCTGCAAACCATCAGCAGATCTGCGGAACTGTAACGTGTAACCCTGCCAGCTGTAAGAAGCCCCTGTTACCCATTGGACACTGCTGCGAAATGTGTGGTGCCATTGTGACCGTCTATTATGCCACCGGTTTCAATCTGCACAATTACAGGGAGCGAATACGCCACCTTTTTCTTACCTCCTCACAGTACAACTCCATTCAGCTGGGCATGTCCAAAGTTTTGAAATCACAAAAGCTGATGGGGATTATCCCTTTTGGAACATCACCTGAAATCCAAGTAGTTATTCTGGATGGCCAGTCGGGCGCACTGGCAGAAACTCTGGCCCGGGACATAGTGAGGGACGCTGGTTCCCACGGCTCTAAACTGGGGATCACAGGGATGGAATTTCAGGCCTCTTCTGGGAGCAGCAGTGAGCAGTCTGGAAGCATTGCGGGGACTGTGGTCGGAGCTGTGTTTTCTGCTTTACTTGTGATTACCCTAATTATCGTCCTGGTTTTCCTGGTTCGAAAGGGTGTCGTTCGAATGCCATCCATGCCTTCAGTCCCATCGACTCTCCCCTGGCAGCGAAACACTGATGCTGGCCTCGATGGAACAATTGACCATGGATTTGATAATCCCATGTTTGACAAGCCTGATACACTTTCAGATATCCCTGGTCTTTATGAAGCTAACCGTAATTCGATCGCTTTGACTGAGTCGGGTGTGTATTTTATCAATCCATCTTATGATGAGAATTCAGCAGACATTACTGTCTAAAGGAGATTTGAACATATGTAGCTGATTTGTGAACGTGTATTTGGAATAACATGATGATTTACTGTTCATGCACAATACCTTTTATATAGATTTACAATCACTGAGCAGCGTAAACAAGGTCATAAACGTAATTGTTAACAGATTAAAAAAATGTGATGAACATGACAGACAAACAACAGCTTTGTCCCTCATTCCCACTTCAATTGAGACAATCCACACAGTTCCCCTGTTTATGTTGCATAGCTAACACTAGATGGCAGTAAATGTAATCCTCAATGACGTGTGCATGAAATACAATCCTGCTTTAGCACAATATGTGCCTTCTTCTGTGGCATCAATAAAGTTCTGCAAAGCACTCCCAGACAGCTTGTGATTTGTTGGCACTATATCATTTTGGACTAACCAGAGCAACTACGTTGTCTTTCTTTGACAGCCAAACAGTTACATATAGGGGCTCTATAAATTCAGCTGTGTATGAGTGGAGCAGCTTCATGCGTCCCGTTAAATTGTAGAAAGACACAGAGCCGTGGGTAAAGTCAATATACAAGCCGATCTTTGTGATATCAGTGGCCTCCAGCGCTGTCTCCACCCCGGCGTGCCAGGAAGAGAAACCTTGGCTGTTCCTTCCGACGCACCAAGAAAAGTCGTTGCCGGTGATGCAGCTGCCGCTGTCCTCTCCCTTACGATCAATGCTCTTGTAGGTAACACCAACATGTGCACCCTCGCCACTCAGCTCTGCTTCCATGTAATGTCTCCCTAAGTAAAGGCTCTCTTTGGCCATAGCCTGACGCCAATATTCAAAGCGACTGGGATGGTCAGGGTAGCTGTGCTGCCAGGGGCTGGTGTTGGTCAGCTTACTGTTGTCCTCCATTATACGTAGGAAATGGTGAGTGGTATCGGGGTCAAAGGTCAAGCTCCTGAAGTCTAAAACAAAGACACACAATTTTATATCAAGGTGTGATATATCAGCCATTATTTGACAGGAATCTCAGGACATCATTAACTGAGAAGTAGTTACATTTCAGAAAGTCTTCTCTGGTCTCAGGGTCAGGCTTGGATGCAGGCTGAGGTTCTGGCATCACCGATTTACTATCTACATGACCATTTTGCAGAAAGATTATTGATAAGTTTCACAGCGCATTATGTTCTTGTAAGAAGTACTTTAAGTATATCTGGACAGACAGAACATTTTTATGACAACAAAGACTTTTCCAGTTCATTTTTAGATGAATGTACTGTAAGTGTGTACCACTTATAATGGTAATTGTCATTATAATAAATCTAAAAATATAAGGCAAAATATATATATAATATTAACTCACCACCTTTGCAAATCATGTTAAGTTTTTCCCTGTAGGCAGAGAAAATCAGCTCACACAGCTCTTGGGTAACATCTGCCACAGCTTGGATATATGACTTTACATAATCCATTCGGTTGATGGACACAGTGGGTACATATATTTCTGCCATTCCTTTCTTCAACTCTGCATAGCCCTGGGATATGACATAACAAACAAATGTTACTGCCTGTTCTAATCCAAAAGCCTTGTCTCAGAAATCATCATATCCACTTTGCCATGCTCCTCCAATACTTGGAGAGAAGGCAGTCAGTCTTTAACGGATTTAAAAAAAAAAAGTAGATTATAGTGTTGGGGTGCCCGATGGTGTTGTGGTTAGAACTGTGTCCTCATCGAAAGACAGTTCCCAGTTTAAACTCCATCTAGGGGCCTTTCTGTGTGTTCTCCTAGTGTAAGCATGGGTTCTTCGAGGTAGCCTCCTTCAATAGTTAAAAAACAAAATTGCATTTAGCACTGAGTATTTACCTTTGTGTGTCCCTGTGTGTTTCTTTATCACCTACAATCATGTAGTCACAGTTCATAATTGATGTCTGCTCCAAAATCACCCAACAACTTGCCCATGCAGCTCAATACAGTTGTGTCTACATGCATTCTAATTCTTTTTCTTAGTTGATAGTTATAGGCAATTATTCAGAGTAAAGAATATACTCATATACTTAGAGTACACTTATACAGTATAATTTCAGGTGTTCTCATCAATTTTACCTGAAGAAAGTCTACTTCAGACCTGCTCTTGGACAGCGTGTTAATTTGAGTTAAGGTTTTTATCAGCTCCTCTCTCCTTTGCTCCAGATGTGCTTTGATGCCTTCCACTTGTCTGAGTGTCTTTTTATGCTCTCCGTCCAGCAACTCTTCTACCTTTTTTCTGGCTTCCTCCACAGTTATTTGCAGCCTGGTGAACTGCTGTGCAATGCTAGCACAACCGTCCTGCACAGAAGCCTGAGGGAAGGAGAAAGATTTTCAAGTAGAATATTCAGATATGACTGTTTGTCGAGAAAGTCAACAGAAATTGGACAACTGGCCCCAACATTACCTTAATCAAGTTACTGTTGCTTAACAGTTTTTCAACTGTTTTCTCTACAGATGTCACATTTTGACTGATCTCTTTGTGTTTCTTCTGCAGCTCAGTCTACAAAACAGACAGCAACACACAGCACACACAGCATGGATGGATGGACACGGCATATGCAGAAATAACATAAATAACCATCTCTGTTTTTCTGAAAATCATAAACAAGACTATGTAGACAGTTGCTATCATAAACCGTAGTGTTATTTTTGAGACCTTAATCTGTGTGCAAGCCTCTCCCAGAGATGCCGTCATGTGACCCTCGTGCTCCTGATTCTCGCAGTCCAAACACAAACAGCTGCAGTCCATCAGACAGAAGCTTTTCAAAGGGAGCTGGTGAAGCTCACAATTCGGAAAGTTGATATCTCGAAGGGGATCCACTAAACGATGGCTCTGAAATTTGTCTTTCTGCAGATGCGGTCTGAGATGGTCCTCACAATAGGAGACCTGACAGGTCAGGCAGGACTTTAATGCTTTCTTGGGGCTCTCCAAGCAGGAGTCGCATAACACATCCTGCACCAGGAGCATGTCGGATGGCTGAACTGCGGGAGCCTCCGATTCTTCGTTTCCCTTCACATTTTCTTCACTGTTACTGCTGAGCGTTGCCATGTTTGAGTGATCCTTTCGTCTCCTTTTATCCAAGCCCGATGTTTTAAGCTTTTACAGTGCTCAGATCTATGCTAACAGCTAAGTTTTTTCTGTCTTTTCTGTGAGGCAAAGAGCCTCACACAGCACAAGGAAAGAATTAAGAACCACGCCTAAGGTATTCCGTGCATAGTCAACAGAGGCTTTCTCATATCTCACCCCTCCCCGTTTGTCTTTGCCCTGTATCCAAGTTTAGAAAAGTGGGCTGGGGAAGTTACTCTTGCAAGAGAGGGAATAAACACACTATCATTAATTGAACCCTTGAAAAGAGTTTTTGAGTTTATTACATGCTAGTCAAAGTCACGAAAAAAATGTCACTAAGAAATAACAGTGTTTGGTGCTCTATGTTTGAATTATACATTTCTTGGATTATTTAGGAATGCATCTGTCTACATTTTAAAATCAACATCCTAGAAGAGTTTCCTTTTTCCTTTTGATAACAGTGTTACGTCAGAGGCATGGAGCTTCCAGACAACACCCCTTATCTACAGAGACACTTCCTGAAGTTTTTCTGACCAAGACAGAAGCAAAATATGCCTTGTGTTTGTATTACACTAAAGGTTACACTCAATAGGTTTGTGAGAGTGAAAATAAGATGAGTCCAAGGGAAAAGAAAACAGATTTGAAGAAAGTAACTTTATTTATGTTATTACTCAGCTTAAGTTGTATAAGAAAAAAGTTTTCTCAGTATTTCTTAGTACATGCTACGGTGCAGATTAACTGTATTATTTGAAAAAGCTACCTAAATAACAAATCATTGGAAGACTGAAATGAATGGTATGTACGAGGTATGCTCTACTGTAATCTTAATGGGTTATGTCATATTGTGCTTTTAGAAAAAAATCTATAAGACAATACTGCATTCTCACATAGTACAATACATGATACAACACTACAGTTATTCCAAACAATCTCACTGTACAGTTGGCCTCTCTGTTACCAATAGGTGACATTTAGACAGCCATGGCTTTCTGTATGTAAACATAAACAGTTGTAAATACTAGTGAATACATGCTTTAAAAAATTACTTAAATGGTGAAATAATAAAGTTTGTGTCAAAGTTTTTATCATATTCAAGCAAAACCACAGGCACAAGCATTGCAGGCACATGGAGCGGTAAGATTTACCCCACAGGGGACACGTTTGGGGATGAGGACCCCACAATCAGCTTTCTGTTACATGTACCACGTGACACAATCTCCGAGTACGGTGCTGCCCTCCGATAATCATCTTTCAGTTTGTGAAACCATGCAAAGCGGGTTACTCAAACCATTCTATCAGAAAAGAAAAAAATGCTTCTCTGACACCACGAAGCTAGCATGGTGGAAAAAAGAAACAGCTCAAGAATTAATTTCACGCTCGTATCCTCTCGCTTGACTTATTCATTGTAACAGTGTTTTTCTGCTTTGCTGCCTCTGAGTTACATGGAGATGTAAATCTTTGTTCTTCCTGCACACAAGTGACATTCACTGAACAACGCTCCACTGACCTTTAAGGATGGATGAGCGCACAGCAGGGTGACCATCCACAAATTCTGTTATCTGTCGAACAGACAAGGAAAGAAAGGTTGCTTGTAAATTCATGTTATCTCTTCCTGTTCATTTACAGTTTACAGTTCATTTATAGAAAAATGTGTCAAGTTAAAGTAATTATTTTACCAAGTTATATATGTGCAAATAGTTTCTTCTTTTTATTTAAGAGTGATAACGAACAGGCATTGAAGAGGGACAACAACTTTAGCATTTCGGAGAACAGTGTTTCTGGATTCAGACCAGAAGTGGAACCAAAGTAAGTGTGCTTATTGTGTAAATAGTGGAATACAAAGGTAAAACCTCCTGCTGTTGTTTTGTTCTGGTGCTGTCATTGTTAAGGGGAAAAAAATCACAAACACAACTGGCATTCCCCTCCCAAAGGCCCCGGGCTATGAACGCTGATTAAAAATGTTCAAACTCACAATTCAGTGTCCTCTATGCAGTCAGGGTCCTCTAAAGTTTCAAGTCGTTTCTGACAGGCGTCTAAGATCTTTTTTCTTGGTCCTAATGGGATATGGATACTCTTAAGGTCATGATCGGAGCACAGCAGAAGTGCTGCAAGGTCAATTTTCTCCCTTTTGAAGATGGAATAAAACTCGCTCATGCTCTGTGTGGCAAGGAAAACCTCCAGTGAGCTTGTGTCCGGCTCATCGTCATCATCCAGTCCTAATTCAATTTCTTCCCAAGGCAGCTCTTCCCTGTTCCTCTCCTGAAGACTGCGTGCGCTGCCAATGCTGTCTTCGTCCAGACTTGGGTGCTGATGCAATCGGCTGCGTAGCCGCACGTTATTACTGGACTGGGCCTCGTTTGCTGCATCCCGGCTGCCGAGGTCAAACATGCCCCCGCTCACATAGTTCCTCCTGAAGACCATAGTGCCCAAACCGGGTCGGTTGAACAGGGAGTCATGTCCAGAGTCTGTGCTGATCTCGGAGTAGTCCACATCGGGCCCGTGGAGATCCGGCTCACTCATGGCACGTGAAATGGCATCGTCGTTATCCCTAGAGAACATTTCGCGGACATTGCGGCGGCCGCGGTCTCTTGGATTGACATAAGTCCCTTGTTTTAAAAACATGACATCATTACTCAGCTGAAGGCCAGAAAGAGAGCGCACACTCTTCCTTCCATCTTCATAGATCTTAAAGGTGCCATCTCCTTGTTTCTTCTTCTCCAGCCTCTTCTGGATCTTTGTCTTCCCTCGGTTTGTGGCATGGAGAGTTGCCTAAGAGGAGAACAATAACACGGCAATCAGGCACAATAACACAAACCTGTTTTCATATTTGAGGCTAATGTCTCCTTATATTCCTACAAATACATATTGACAGATTCATATCTTTTCCATTACTGGTGGGAGTAATTTTCCAATTGCATGATGTTTATGGGTTTATGTGCAGTAAGTACGCTGAAACCCTATTTCAAGTCATATTTTTACTACATCAGCCTTCAAATGAGTGTCCTAGCAAGTAGATAAAGAATTTAAAAATAAAAAAAGTCCAAACCTGAGAATATGGCACGCTGACGGTGGCTGCGTTGTAGCTGCGAAATTTATGGCTCAGAGTACTGCTGGCATAACTCGAAAGGCTCATGACATCTGACGCAGAGGCCTCAGAAACCTCTTTATGAAACTTCCGCTCCATGCGTTTGTGGTGCTTCTTCTGCATCTTTACGCACTCTTTGATCCGCCGCTCAGCATCACGGAAGGCCCGGTCCTTCAGCTTGCCGATGAGCTTTGGATTGAGAGCTGTCTGCTTCGCCGCTATGGAATCCAGGTACCGGACGCATTCCATGTGATTCTTTGTGGCAGCCATGTCCAGTGGTGTGTGGTAGTCATTGTCCAGGCACCATATGTTGGCACCGAACGACACCAGGAAGAAAAGGCAGTTGTGATGACCGTTGGCAGCTGCCAGGTGGAGTGGCGTGTTTCCCCATATGTCACACTTGTCTGGATCTCCTCTGTGGGCCATAAGCAAAGTATTAGATAATCAAAGAAACATTTGATGAATAATCCCCTTTTGTTCTGTTCATACAGTGAGAGCCTATAGGTGTGTTTCTGTTTAGAAGGCTGACTCCTGAGTGATCATGTGATCTTGAGGTCATGTTTTCAGAACTGACCTGCAGCCCATGAGTTGTTAACTGGACCTTATTTAATAATTCAATATGTGAGGACACACACTCTTTATCTTAGAAAAGGTGTGTCTTGGTGAAAATTGGTATCTTAGGAAAAATGGTGGACAGATTCTAAAATATCCATAAGAAGAGAAAGGCCGTTATTAAAACAACAGACGACGTTCTCCTCTCTAAGACAGTCCACGACCCGAGGGTTACCCCTGTGCATGCTGCACGGTTGCGTCAGGTCTGTAATATGACCTCAGGCTTGCCAGCACAACTGCTCCACAACCTGTATCCTTTTTCAGGTGAGGCCAGAGAAGTTGCACCTGGCTCAAAAAGCACAATTGTACATGGTTGGGGATACCATAATGAATTCCTGGAGTCACAATAAGTACACCTGTGCACCTTGTCGTATGTACAGGATAGATCTGAAAGGAGCACTCTCACTGTACATTTCTTTCCCAACATAAACCTAATATTCAAATCAAATTAATTTGTTTAATGTGAATTGTATTTTCTTTAGATAGTTGTTTTATTGTGTTTTTTCACCAATAAATACTCATTAAAAAATGGCAATTGGGATTATTCCAGACATGAAAGATTATCATTTTAGAGCAAGATTGAAATATTTCCCTTTTTATTTCAGCTCAGATATTTTTGCATTCAATAAAACTTTTGTTGGTGTCAAACCTCAATGTTTATTGAACTGTCTTGTCTTTTGTCCTCCACTGTATCCACATACACACTCCTGAATATTTGATGCAATGGTTGAAGTTGAAGTACAGATGTATTATTGATGGAGGGCACCGCAAGGTTTTCTCAGGGAATGTGTCACCAGCTAGACCCTGCTTGTGCAGCACCTAACAAAGCTCCCACCTTGATTTCAACCCCCAAATCTGAAAGTTTGGGCAGGATGATCTTAGAATTGTCCAAAAGAAGATGGAGCTTTACAACCACAACTCACCTCAGTTCTTACAAGTGGTTGTTATCATTGTGGAAGATGGATTGTAAGTGGCAAACAGCCCAGAAAATAATACAAAAACAAAATAAAATAATTATCAAATAAATGTACTCTATTTTCTGCACAGGGCTAAAAAATAACGATGGCCATAAAGGACCATAAATTAATGAATGGTGATAAAGTGAGATTAGATCACCTTCTAAACTCCTGTGTGGTGTTATATAGGTGATACGTTATCATCTAAGATAGCTTTATGGGTCAAAATTTATGTCTGCGGTAAAATCCCGAGAGCAGTGGTGTGTGCTAACATATCAGGTTGTCTTTACATCATGTGCTACTACTGTTCTCATGTCCTGTGTCACTTTGATGTTATTGCTAGCCAAATGCAATAGTCCTGTCGTATATTGCCAAAATGGCATGTTTCCCATGAACCATTTCTGACCTCTCTTCAGCATATCAACTCCTCTACTGAATTTGATTTATGATAATTGTGAATGTCTACATTAGTTCTAGATGTCATCTCATAATTTACACTTGTTGTTATCATAAAAACAATATGTTCCATAGTGGCTGAACACACCACCATCTGATTATTCCTATGTTGTGGGAAATGCTGAGCACAGGTATTAATCTGTGTTCTTTCAGAGAAGGTTGCAAGTCCACATTTCGGATCTTGAAGACTGCCTTTCTACATTTCTGTAATACTGACCTTTTGCATCTGACTAAATTAAACACTGGAGAATAATACTGCCCTTTTCAAAACGATTCAGTGAAGCATATTCAAATTGGTCCCATTTTTTTTTTGTCTGATTAGCAAACTAGGTCAGCCACATAAGATGAGGAAGTGGCTCCTGTGAACACCAACCATAATGTGCAGCTTGTACAGCAATGCAGCCAATAGTTCCATTCGAGATTTGACATTAGAAAAGGAGACATTTGTTAAACAAAACTCCAGAAATCCTGTAAACATTTACATTTCAGGCAAAGGTTCTACAAAATGTATATGAAGATTCCTTATATTGTTTGAATATTATCTCACAATGATGGAGAACTCAGTTGTAAACATGCTAAATGTGAATTCGTTGACAAGAGCAAATACAATTTTTTTTTAGATTTTAATACCATTTTCATGGTCCAAATTCCTTTGAGTTAAAATCTAGGCATGGCCATTGATGAGTTGACACTGTATGTTCTCTAAATTCAACCTTTAGTATTCACACTATGGACTATTCTAGTTAGAACTCGAATTAATGTGGATATATTTGCCATGACTAATGTATGATTGAGGATGGATGGAGGCGTTTGGATGAACGTGTTGGGCTTTTGTGGTTTTGCACCCAAACTGTGACAAAAATCCTACCCACCCTCTGGCCACGATGAGCCGCAGAGCCTCCAGGTTGCCGTGATAAGCAGCCCATAACGTCGGTGTCATGCCATCCTCGTCCGGCGCGTTGAGATCCTTCCTAGTCGCCTCTTTAAGCAGGTCAAGGTAGCCATCCCTGGCCGCCTTGTGGTACCTGTCATTCATGGTGCCGGATTAGTCCGCCCTGCACGTCTCCATCCTGTAGAAGCAACGCCACCACCATTGCCGTCGTCAGGCCGGCATTGGGCGACAGCGCACGGGATTAAAAGCGTAAATTCGTCCCACTTCTCACCCAGGACGAGGCAGCTCAGAGTGCACGGCCAGTGCGTCGCTGGTAACCAGGCACGCGTCACCGAGTGGCCAAACACTGCTCCCGGTGGCCGAGGCGGTCCAGTACGCAGACCCAGAATCCGGAGCAACCATTGTTACCACTGTGGCTATTGAAGAAACTATTAAAGAAACCAGTATGAGGTCGTGATTGTTACTTTTGTTTAGTTTAGTTTAGTTTTGGGGCGCTTCGATTTTGGCCTGCTTGTGCTCAAACTTCTTCAAGGTTAACGTCAATGCTGTCGATCAAAAGTGATCATTTATTCCACCATCTCAGGGTCAGGTCTTAAAGGCTTAAAGGGCTTTTTAAGACACCAAGAGAATTGTGACTGCTGATCCTTGAAACCGATGCCCTGGCTATTTATAATACAAGTGCTTTCCCCCTTTTAAATATGGTAATTTATTCAAACAAGACGTCTTCAACTTGTCCTCACTTGTTGCAGCGCATTCATAACTCAAAACAATGGACGTCAGAACACGATCATTGGCAAAGTTGCACAAACACGAGGAAATAAGTACCAACATCCGAGTTTACGAAAAGTCCTGTTTCATCGTGACTAACTCTAAGAAGGAAGCCAGGCTCGTTGTTTTTCCTTGTTCTTCTTAAATGAAGCATTGTTCTTTTGTGAGCTTTCTATGACTGGAAAGAATTTGACAAAGCCAGATTAATTGCAGAGGATGGCTGCAAAAAGGGCCTCATCTGTCACATCCTGATAAAAAAAAGGCTGAATTAGCTATTTGCACCTGCAATTTAACCCTAGCAGAGCCATCAACGTGTTCTCAAACACACTAACCAATAGAAACTGCCATGACAATAGCTGAAGGCCATTAAAAGGATTTAGCCCACACATCAAGATTTTCAGGTGGGGGGACTTTTCCAAATTGTGGAAGTCTTGTTTTCGAGAATTAAAAGAATTCCTTCAAAGCACTGACTGAAATCATGAGTGTTCAGCTGGGACAAAAATAAAAACCAGTGGGAGCTTTTTTGATTATGCATGTGGCGTGCAGTTGTTCTTTGCACACCAAAGCAACTTTTTAATGTGACATCAAACCATAGTATGTCACATCGAGGAACTTTTCTGTTTCCCTGCCGAGAAAAGGTTCCGTGTATTTTGGAAGAGGCCAGAAAAGACTATTCTTGGAAAATTGGTTTGAACTTTTTGGCAGTATTTTGTGCTAAACAGGCCGTGTTTGGGGTTACCAGGTTGTTGTTCAAACAGACAAGCGTTTATGACTCTTTGCACGTAAACAGTTGTGTTTGGGGGGAATATAAAGCCACCGCGGTGCGTCCCTCTCTCCACACTTCCATTGATCAGGTAAGCCTGTTTCTTACATTGGACTTCTTTGAGCATTTGGTTGTAAATTCAGAACTGATATCAGATGGTGTTTATATTGTTTTCAACTAATCTGTTACTCTCAATTTTATAGAATATGAAGGATGATAATTTGTAATGTAAAGACAGTGTTACAGTTATGTTGTTGCTGGACAAAGGACTGTTTATATTAACATCTTGCAAATAGAAAAACATAAAAAAAGAGGAAATTTCACTGTTGGTCTACAGCAATATAAGTGCCAATTTCTATTTTAGTATGTGTGGAAAAGTTTCATTGAGGGCGGGCTCTGCCCTTCCAGAGAGTACCTGGGCGTAGCTGCTAAACCTGTCATGTCTTATATCTGGTTCCAGATACAGTGAACAGCTCACTCGAGAGAGGACCTTGGAAAGTGGAGCCATGTGTTATAACTCTGACAACCCGTGCGAGTGTCTGACCAGCGGCAACCTGTGCGAGCCGTGCAGGACGACCGCCAAGGATAAGGAGATGGAGGAGGCGCGCCTCGACAACATCAGGGCGGCGGGTCAAGCGGACAACACCAGCGAACCGGACCTGAACATCTCCTCCACCGAGGTTGTGAGGGAGCGAGGCCGGAACTGGGGATGGATGCTGTCTGGGATCATCTGCTTGAACATCCTGATCCTGGGCTGTGCTCTAGTCAGCGGCAGCGCCTCCAGTGGTGTTAAAATCAGCACCCTGGACCTGCAGGCTTTTCTCATCGTCCTCCTCCTCCTCACCTGCATTTGGATGATCTATTATATCATCTACACAGCCAGGACGGACAACGCTGTCACCTACAAGGACGGGCATGCTGGACCCATATGGCTAAGAGGTATGCAACTGAAACCTTGTATGCAGATAGCAGTTTTTTTTTACTACTCAAAACACATTCTCACTCTAATTGCTATCTCTTCTCAGGAGGACTACTGCTATTCGGACTCCTCAGTGTCGTCATGGACATTTTCAAGATTGCCAGCTACGTGGGATACCTCCACTGTGATTCTGGGGTGAAGGTTGCATTCCCTGTGGTGCAAGTGGTCTTCGTCCTTGTGCAGGTAAAAAAAAACACAAAAAAATGGGAAAAAATAAATTATATTTCCAGCTTGCCACATTTATTCTGGTATTAAGGGTTGTGAAATGTTGTGATAATTGTAATTTTGACTTGCAGACATACTTTTTGTGGATCCATTCACAAGACTGCGTGCAACGCCAGAAGAACCTGTCACTGTAAGTGGTGAAGAAAGGGATCAACCCTCTTCTTTCAAATGTTGTACTTTCTTTTTTTTCGCACATCTGTTCGATGTCCTCATATGACTGTTTTTTCCCTTTTCTATGTAGCTGTGGGTTGATGCTAACCCTGTCCACCAATCTAGTTCTATGGATGACAGCGGTCACGGAGGAGTCCCTTCACCAGACGACCATTCCTGACTACTCAAATGAAACCAAACTCTCAAGACGAAGCATGTACATCAGCAGAGGTGATTAAAAGAGACGAATCCTCTTAAAAGACGCAGATGCATGTTCCCAGTTGCTTAGCACCTTTCTCTTTTCTGTTTCATGTCTTACAGCCGGTTATGGAGATGACCAGTGCAAGTGCAGCCACACTACATGTAGTGTCTTCAAGGAGGCCTATTACTACCTGTACCCTTTCAATATTGAGTATAGCCTCTTCGCCTCTGCCATGGCCTACATCATGTGGAAGAATGTAGGCCGAACAACACCTGAACACAACCACCACCACGTCAGCTTCAGCCTGAGAGATGTCTTTATCGGGCCCATTTTTGGAGTCCTCTTGGTGATTGCAGGACTGGCAACGTTCATCGTGTACGAGATCGAAATGAAAACAAACTACAGCGATGAAGAGGGGAAAGACAGAGCAGTGATGATGCACTTCGTCATGAATATAGTTATAGTCACCATGATGTCAGCATGCACTGTAATTGGCAGTGCCATCTTCAAGGTGGATCACAGGGAGCACGTCTCAGAGAAAAACCCCACGCGCAACCTGGACGTGGGGCTGCTGGTCGGAGCCTCTCTGGGACAGTTCATCATCAGCTATTTCTCCATCATAGCCATGATCGGCACCGGGGCCAGAGACCACCTGGACAGGCTCAACCTGGCCTGGGCCATACTGATGGTGATCCAGCTGGGCCTGCAGAACTTTTTCATAATAGAAGGTCTGCATCGGGAACCCTTCCATGAGGTGGAGCCGCCTACCGTGATGGAAAACCCATACGTGCTGGAGGAGAACAAAGACGCGAACGTGGAAAAAGCCGAAATGGACACCAAACCGACCCCTGAAACAGAAGCACACAGCCACAGCGAACACAAACACAAACTACTGTGGAAGCGGAGGGTGTTGAGAGAAGTCTGTGCCTTTTTGCTGCTGGGTAACGTCATTGTAAGTTCCTCTCTCTCCTCCATCAAATATCCAGTCTCAAGTTGAATTTTAACTGCACTTTAACCACTACTACTGAAATGACAATAATGTTAATAACACTGCTTTTGTTTATCTCTTTGTCAGCTGTGGATCATGCCAGCGTTTGGTGCCCGTCCCCAGTTTGACCACGACACCGAGACAGAGTTCTATGAATTCAACATGTGGGCTGCTGTTGTGAATATAGGGCTTCCTTTTGGCATCTTTTACCGAATGCATTCAGTGGCTAGTTTGTTTGAGGTGTTTTTGAACTCATAACCCTGTAAGAATGTGTACAGCCTCCTGTTTGGGCAATATAAAAACAGTTTTGTACCGACTGTGGTTTGTTTTGATGTTTAAATTCTTTACATATTTGTAATGGCTGAAAAAAAGTGTTTTAACTTTTATATTTCTTGTTTTGTTGTAGAATACGCATGAGACAATGTAAATATGTTCAAAATGTTGTTTTCAGATGTTGCAAAAATTCTGTGGAGCTAATCTTTTAATACTTGAACGGCACTTTCAACTTTGTGTGAACAAATAAAAATGAATAATAATTAAAGAATAGTCTTATTCATTATTATTAGCAGCAACATTACTGCTACTGCTGTTGCAGTGTATGAAAAGCTCTGAGATAAGTTTATCACCAAACTATTCGCCTCATAATTCTTGATGAAAATCAACAAATGCCTCTTATATACACATGAATAATACATTAAATATCATTATAATAATAAAAAAGTTATTTAAATATATTCACCCTCAAAAAGTCAGAATTCAAACAAATTCCAAATTGATCGTTTCTCCAGTTCTGGTAAAAATAAACAACTGTGGTCATAGTCTCCCTCTGGTGGTCAAATAGCGTCATTACATCCCTAAAGGAAACGCGATGCGCGATGGAAACTCAGCTAAATAACCGAAAATCCAAAAGGGGAAATACGATACAATGAGGGGAAGGATTCACCACTAAAATATGCAATAGAGCGATTAAATCCCCCCCAAGTGCATTTCGGGAGATATACACAAACACTTTTACCATTAACTGGACATTAAGCACATACAAAATATATTCAAAAAGAGAATAAATTGCGATTAGCAGACAACTTACACACACGTCAAAACTCAACAACACCAATAATAAAATATGGTTGCAAGTTTGGATCTGAAGTGTTACAATGAACTTCGATGCAGGCACCTTTTAGGCCACACTTCTTTTGGGTCCTTCGCACACGTTGCTGTTTACATCCACGTAAACAGGAACTGCTTCTGGTCTCACGATGCACAGACAGGTGATCGATTTAAAGTTAATTTATTACTATTTAAGGGCAGTTAATGTTTTCAGAATTGGTTAATCTTTTGACTGGATCTTTTTATTTGACTTTCATGTGTGAGACAGAAATATTGTTCAGAATTAGAAGCTGTGAAGTTCATTAATGATATGGTTTCAGGACTCCCAAGACTCTCCTCTTTTTGGTGAAGAAGAGGAGAACTTCAGGCACAGAAAGTCCAAAGTTAGGTAAAATATGCTCAGGCAAAAGTGGATTCTTTTATTTGAATACTTTTAGAACTGACAAGAAAACAATATAAATCTGTTTTTCAGACATCCTCTGGCATCTTTCTTCCACCTCTTCTTCCGGACAAGTGCCATCTTGGTTTACATACTGTGCGACGTCCTCAGCAGTCGTTTTATTGCTTGCATGGTGACCATTATCCTGCTGCTGTCATGTGATTTCTGGACTGTCAAGGTTAGTGGTCAGAAAACTGCTCCAGAAAGTTGCTCAGTTATCGCCTTGAAAATTGTAGTCCCCCCCCCCCCCACCTCTTACTTCAAAGTCTTCTTTTATTACACTATAATAAAACATTCTTTCACATGTAGTCCACAATAAAGAGTCACTCATTTGTTCTGAGCTTATAAAAAGTTACATTGGAATTTGATTTAGCAGCAATCACATATTCCTGCAAGACCAGCCCCTGGACATAGCTAGATGCCCAAACGAGTCAGGCTACTGACAGTCTATATGAGTTCACTGTGCAGATGTTGCCTTCAGGGATGCCTTCAGGACCCTGAGTCTTGATTTGCGCACACGCTCAAGCTTAAGTTAAACTTACATGAAATATACTTTTAAAAGTCCAGATTTGGTTGGATTTGGTTAATAACTAACTTTTAAATCTTGCAGTGTTATGTAAGTCATGCAATTAAATGTGTCTGGCGTCACAGTTTCCACAGTGGAAGTTCCAAGCACTTAATAGTGATAATGAAGCCAGATGCAGTCAGAGGCACACGTCCTATTTCTCACACTGTCACTTTAGATCAGTCAGCTGATCAATCAGAGCAGGCTTTTGTCTTGTTTTTTTAAGCAGGTTTTGAAAAGACACAGAGCTAAAAAAAAAAAAGAGTTTTCAGATGGAAAGTGCAAAGGACTCGTGGGGCAGCTTATCATTTGCTCTTTGAGGCTTGCTTATCTAGATATTAGGAAACTAATATATCCTGGTATCGTGCAGATATGTTATGTTGTGGTCTGATAAGTAATGGAAAAAAACTCTGGACTACCAAAACCTTTGCTTTACAGCAGGTTCCGGACCATTGTGCTCATTTGACTTCAGGATTTGGACATATCCAGGCATTTTAGTTGAACATTAAAGTTATCAATATCAGATAAACACTAAAATCACGTGTTTTTTAGGCAGCTAATAAATTGCTCTAAAAATACACTATTAGTAGAAGTCTACATAAAGATTATTGTCTTGTTACTGTAAATAATGTGACTTGATTAAATGATTTAGGAAGATTTTTGGTTTTAGAATGTGTCTGGCAGGTTGTTGGTGGGCCTTCGGTGGTGGAATCAGGTGGATGCTGATGGGAAGAGCCGGTGGGTGTTCGAGTCAAGAAAGGTAAGCGGGAACTCAAAGAGAGTTATAAACAGCGAGCTGATGTGATGAATGATAGATTTATGGACATTGTAAAGGATAAAGTCAAACGTTCGTCACATGGAACGACTATATTAAAAAAAAGAAAACAAGAGTTGCTCCACTAACTGTAGTGAAGTTAATATCACGTTGAGGTGTAACTAATAAACTAATAAGTGGACTATATTACATTAAGCAGGTGCATTGTCCTTTTTTTTTTATCACAGAACACATTTTACTCTGATAACAGGATGAAATTAAATGAGGTCAACCTTTTTTTTTAACAGCCAAACACCGTGAACACAACATCCACCTCTGAATCACAAATTTTCTGGCTTGGACTTACGGTGTGCCCCATCTTCTGGGTCATCTTTGTGTTCAGCACCATGTTCTCCTTCAACATTAAATGGCTGGTCAGTTCAGTGCTATTCTACACCCGTCGGCCGACATGTATCATTGTAAATGTCTCAGTCCTGTGTTGTGGTGTCGCCCCCAGCCCGTGGTGATAATGGGTCTGGTGCTACAATGGGCCAACTTGTACGGCTATGCGAGATGCAAAGTGGGTGGAGGGTCCAACCTGCGAAACATGGCAAAGGACTACTTCGGAACCCAGATTTTGAAACAGGTTTGTGAAATATCTCCAGACAGTTACCTTTAATGTTTTTGGTCTATTGAGTTTTGACTTTTTATATTTCTCCCAAAGGCGATGAAGAAAACTGAAGAATAATGAGGCTGAGGAAAATGTGCGGGGGGGGCAGTGAGGTTGAGCTTGAATGGGCTGGTAATAATGACCTCATTTCTGCTGAGAAAGAGGCGGGTTTTCTCTAACTAAGTTTCTCTTTTGAGAGGTTCTCATGATGTTTTGGGGGAGAGTTGGTGTCACATATTGGTGAAGGTAATAGGTAACGCCTTAAGCTTCTTTTACCGGAAACCCGGATGAAAGTTTGAAGGGATGTAACTTTTTGGTAACATATTTATACTGTTTTGCCTTACTGCTGCTGCAAATCAATCCTGGAGTGTTTACAGTAACACAATACTACTGTTTTGTGATTAAAATGAATTTCTTGAATTTCTTTTTACATAAATGCTTGTTATTAATGACACTGAATGAAATCTTTAAATAGATTTAAAATGTATCTCTAAAAGAAGAATTCTTTTGAAATAGATATTCACAGGGGTCATTTTCCAAACTGTTTTCCAGACTGAGATTAAACTGTCTGGTCAGCAATATTAATTTTTTACTGAGGATTCACTACATTATTATATTTGAGGGACTGTAAATAAGATGCATTTTTATTAAAGTGTAACTATAATGAATAAATGAATACTACTACTAAGTTGATCTATCTGTATATAAGCCTGTTTTGCTTGCCTGTCCATGGAACATTTTTTATGCTTCTAATTCTACTGATTTCATATATCTCTTTTCAGGCCTTTCGGTAATTATTTACTTTGTTTTATTGGTTGTAAACCCAGAGAAAATTAATGTGAAACTGAGTTGCTGTAATTTCATCAACTATAGATTGAAATGAAATGCCTGAAAAGGAGATCAAGAAAAGGTAAAAGAGTGTGATATCAGTCGTCCGTCGGCAGAGAGAGTTGAGCCACTAGGAGGCAGTAAGTAAGCGGTGTCCCAAATCCTTAGTATTTATTTCACTGTTTTGTTAACCCCTGACTTTTTAGTGTTACATAACCTGTGGGAACAGAGGAAACCAATTGTTGGGGTTTTGCAGGTGGTGTCTGCGTCCTCAATTTCACCCCACCCCCACATAAATGCTCATATTCTTCTCTCTGTGATGCTTTTTATATTTTCAAAGCGAGATCTAGTGTACAGACACACCAGTCGCCTGCGCCCACATGTGCATGCGATGCTCCACAGAGACTTTTTTTTGTGTGTCAGTCTGATCCAAAGCTGAACTTCACAGTCGTCGTTTCATGTGAGCACTTTTGTCTGACTGAAACTGTGGTGACTTTCTCAAAATCAGTCGGATCGTGTAAATGGGAACAATCATCCCATAATTAACAGTTGTCTAAGTTTGCATTAGTGCTTTTTTTTTAAGTAAAGCTTGTGAACATTACTTCAACCGGTGTTTGCAAGTGTCCTAGTCACAAATATTTTTTTCTATAGTATATGTCTCCGGGGGAAAAAAACAAGGGAGGAGGGAAATGTTACATTTTTTTATTTGTTATTTGTTTCCTCATCCATGCTTACTGGACATGCAAAACAAATAAGAATAAGTGCAGTCTTGCATGGCATGGTGAAGATTTAGCCAATGCTTCAGTGGTAAATCCCTCTTCAGTTCAACTGGAAGCTGCTCAGCCTAATTAAGGTAAGTTTTTAATAAAAAGATGCTACATTATTGAATATATGTAAACTTTTGCAACTAAAATATATAAATAAAGCAGCATCTGATAAACAAGGGTTTTTTTTTACCAATAAAGCCTCACTTGGCAAAGCAAATGTGTTAAGCATGATACCCAGATTTCAGTTCTGCTGCCACAATGCTGAACAGGAAAAGGTAGAAAAAATAAATAAAAGATGCTACAATAACATGAGCAGTCACACACTTCAAAACTATTAGTACCAGAAATCAAAGTGATTGACAGCGCACTTATACTTTGCCATTACCCCGATCATGACGCAAACATAAGAACCGCCAAAAATGAAATAGAACCAGAAAAAGATCTTGTCCAGTTTGTCTGCAAACCTCTCATGCCTCTCACTTTCAACTTCCTTGGCAGTAAGAGCTTCGAGAAAAGTAACCACCTTCCTGAGCATCTGAGAATCCTCGGATGTGTCCAGCTGGACGACACTGATGTCAGCATTGGTCTCTGCTGGGGATGGAATGACAAAGAGAGCAAATGTAAAGTGAATGAGAATGCCTTCATCTTCGTCTGGAGCTGGTCTCATTCAATCTGTCAGTCAATCTTTATTCACCTTTATCCTCTTTCTCTTTCTTGGTTTCTGTGTTTGTGGGGGCAGACGATTTGGAACAGCAGGAAAAACTGGGCCAGCCGTCCTGGGCCACTCGTGTCAGAACCATTGACACCAGCATGCTTAACACCAAGAGAATCAGACAGACACAGAAGTGGATCCCTGCAGCACAGACAGGTGGTTAGTACGTTGTGTAGCCTGTGTTTGAGCACGTGTGTGTGTGTGTGTGTGTGAACGGTAGATGACTCACGGATGACAGGGCTGCATTGGCCATCTCCGGGGAGTTCGTTGTTGAGGATGTTGATGAACATGGTGAAGCTCAGCACCAGCGTGATTTTGAACGTGTTGCGTTCACCGCCTTTCAGTGGCATGGCAAAGCTGACCACATCGGCCACGATGATCAGAAGACTGGGCAGCATCAATGTTATGAAAGGATTTGAATGTTTGATGCTCAGTCCCACCTGAAGGGGAGACAAGTCACAGCTTCATAATACTGGTAAAAGGAAAAGAATTAACACACTTTTTAGTGGGGAATAAGATGTTAAACTTTTCAGAACTTCCCGGGTCAATGCAGTAAATATGTAACCCCGAGAATACAGGTCTGTTTAAATTGGGGTCAACTTGATGTTGTCCAGGGATGCTGGGATGGGCTCTAGATTTGTTGATTTACACTTGGATTTGTGTCTACTTTGATAACAGGTGCATTGGATGGAATGAAAAATTTGACATGAATTTACCAAGATGAAATTACGGTCATCTCTTTGTTTCTGCAGCACTGCAAAGTCTGTTTTCCAGTCTCCATGGGAACCATCAACCATCTTGATTTCGCCCATGACCAAACTGGTTCCACAATCTGCAAAACACACGATAGACAATAATCTGTGTAAAGCATACATTTGGAGAGTAATTCACATCTTAAAATGTAATTATTACCTTTACTCTTTATTGTAACATCCTTTTTTTATTGCATATCTTAGGCCTAATTGTGTCATGAAGCCCTGCAGGCTTTGAACCATAGTTCCCAGCTTTAGTATCCAAACCCCCAACATACCATTTATCTTCACTGTCATTTAAGACTTTAGTCTACTTTTGGTGATGTCATTATGGCCTCTTCGTGCAGGAGGATCCACAGTTGTGAGAAATATGAGTGAAATTCTGAGCTTACCGTCGATTGAATAAGTTTGAATCGCAACAGGACATTCATCAGAAGCGAATGGATAGTTGAACAGGTTGACTTCACAGTTGACCTGGGCATTTATGATCACACTGTGCATGACTGTTCCATCACTCTTTACCAGCAAATCATTTGAGCAGTGCTTCATGGTCGTCAGTAATCTGCTCTCAGAAGACACAACAGATGGTTCAAAAACTGAGTTCATGACAGTAATGGGGAAGCTATGCTGTTCTACAAAACGCACCCATTTGTTACTTTAATTTCTGGGGTCCAGACTGCTCCCACTGGTAGAATAACATGGTCATACTGGTAAACCGATGTGTTCCAGGCCAGTGCGGTATCCCTCCACCTCTGTTGGTCAAAACAGGATGAGCTCAGGCAAAGCAAAATGTATTTGTGTATCACATTTCATGTATAAGAAAATAAGAAGTGTCTAAAAGCAGAAAAATCTTGACGACCATGATCTATTGATTGAATAGATTAAAGGCTTGCCTTCTGGAACACCTTAAAACTTACAATTTGGGCAATCAGACGACTAATCAGGCGGAGATTCTTGGTGTCCTGTTGAATTTCGATTGATTAGAGAAAACATACAAAATATCTTAATCAGGATGAAAGTTGTGACAGATCGTCTCAGGATGCGTTTTTGAAATAGAATTTTAAAGAGTTTCCATGTTTCTCTGTTCATCTGATCAAAACCATTTTGAACAAAGTCATAGGGTCATTTTGAATAAAGGGCCACCACATGTCAGGGATGTTTCTGGCTGTCACCATAAAAGTGAAATATTTAATAGTTATGTACTTACAACTTTCAGAGTTTGATATTCAATGAATGGCACAAAAACGGGTAGGGTGCAGTTTTCATCCTGAGGCTGAGACAATAAACCTCTATCTATTAGCATGTTCGCCAAACATCTGCGATCTGTGCAAGTGGATGCAGCAAAAGAATGCCCTGAAATTGAAGATAGGCATCATGCATTTATTAAAAAAATATTTTTTCAAATCTTCCTTTTCGTTAATGAAGTTACTTTAAAAAACGGAAGTAAATCTTTTTCCAAAAACTTACCTATTGTCAATAAAGTCATCAAAACGATTCTTTTGTCCATACCGTCGGTAATAAACACCAGCTTTTCTGACTGCATCACTATAAACTTGCCGACTCGCAAAGAATGAGGCGTCACGAATAATCAAGGACTACATCGAGGAGGAGTCCAGGAGTCAGCTTTATATTTCTGTAGATTTCAGACTGATAGGACTTTGACATAAGCCAGCCTGTGAAGTTTATACACTGTAGGACAATGCGACTGACCCAAAGCTTTTGTATTCTTCTCATGTTATGATTAATTGCAGAGTGTTTGCCAGCATGTCCCACTGTAATACTGGGTAAACAGGGAGAACACAGGTATAATTATGTCCATTGTGTGCTTACCTGCCAGCTCATATAGGTTGCTCCATATGCCTTTTATCACGACAGCAAGCGGGTTTACAATGGGACAAACTCTGCTAAACAGAAGAGCAAGCTGAATAAGAAAGTATTGATCTTTTGTGGAAAGATCGTATCTGGTTTTCTTTGCTTGGAAGCAGAATAAACAGCAGACGCTGTGTTTTTTGTATTTGAAAGATATTTGTTTTGAGAGCTGTATGATGAACCTGGATTGTATTAGGTATTGTTCTCTCTATTCATTTTAAATCATTTTGTTACGTAAGCTTTCTTGCTTCTAAGTTATTGTACTCTATTAGGAATTTTCAATTAAAAAAGTTGGAGATTCTTTCCATCATGAGTACACATGTTATACATTTTGATGGAAAAAAAGGGTTCACTGTTACAGGCAACAGCCTACTTTTAAAAGATTCCGGGAAATCAAGTTGATTAACCTGAAAGCTGAGCCGTAGCAAACGTTTATTAATCATAGCTGATTTGTGTTAACCTTTAACAGACTCTCTCACTCATCTACTGCAGTAATAGAGGGAATTTAGATTTCGTTTTAATTTCCTTTCTCTGTATCTTTATAAGACTGAGATCCTCAGTATTTGTCACTGTCACTTCTCACTGTTGCTGTTTAATGTACTTTTGGCTATATTTGAGTTCTTAATATGCATTTGGCACATGTATATAGAGAGATATTGGCCAATTTGAATTGATATAGAATAAAGAATGGCTGTGCAATTGTCTAATGTCTGGCTAAGTCGTGAATGTAATGGAAAATTTATTTTACCTTATACACCTGGACATAATTCAGTAGATTTTCTTTTTGCTTCAGTGTAATACTTTTTATCTTGATATTTGGGTCTCCTTGTACAGTAAGTGTTATATTACTGTGTTTTTTTTTAATGATCATTGAGCTTGTTCCTATAAATGACACACTATCTTCCATTATCTCTTACATGCTTTCTCCCAGAGGAATGTCTAGAAGAATGTGTCTTATCTCTGTTTCACACATTGACTTACAAATCTGACACTTAATACGGTAGCTTTCAGTTGTCCTACCTTTGTGAGGGAGTAAGCGGATGGGGGTGGGTACTACCTGATCATGATCTATTTTTAAAAAGCACAACGAGGTTGTTTTGGTGTTGTTGAACTCTTTGTGATGCCTTTGAACACTCTTGTAGCTGCAATAAAAGTCAGTGTGTCCCGGCGGTTCACGTGTGATCTCTCCTTATCAGAACTAAATTGTGGTCGATTGTGGCTGAAAATACTTGAATACAATCCGATGAAACTGGCAGCTGATTGAGCAAAGGTTAACTTCCTGTGTAATAAATCATTAAACTTAATAGGAAAATTACGAAAATTGACAAACCTATTAGTCCACTGAAATAAACTTTTGACTGTCAACATTCCCACCTTTTTTTTTCTTTCTTTTTTTAGTCGTGCGAAACACAGGCTTGATTGTGCAACTTCTGCGTCATCATTCTGGGATCAACAGGTAGAGGACATTTGATTGTTTTTGGCTTGAGGAACCTCTAAAATATTCCATAGGTCATAAATTATTTTAGTCGCTCCAATGAGGTTTCAGCGGGAAGTCATTTCAGTGATATCAGAACAAAATGGGACTTTGCCTCAGGACCAGGCCAACCCCCGAATAATGTCATATTCTTCAAGCATGTGAAGGTTGGTTCAGCTCAGAACACGTCTAATGCTCAGTGGAACTGATGGACTTCTGTTAACCCTGACCCACACTAATTTCCACTCTGCAAGTAAGTAAATAATTCAAATCTTTGCTCCAATCGAAAGCCAGTTTACCTCATATAAATAATTGGTTTCAGATTTGAATAATCTTAAAGATAAGCAATGTACATGGCTTATTTTCTCCTGGTGGTCGAAACTCATCTGTATATTTTGAAATGACAAAAACAAGGCAATTCTTTCGAACTCATATCAAATTAATTCAGTTTAAATATTCTACTTCCACTGATTGCATATATAAGGTTGAGATAAAGAAAATAAATAATTAGGGAGAAATGGGAGGTGAAGTTGACATATTAAAGCAAGCATACCTGTGCAGTAAAGGCTATTCTTGGCAGTTCCCCACAGACGTCCTTCACTGAGCCTTTTTCCTAACCTGTATTGTCCTTGTCCGTGGACGTTCAGAAAGCATGCTGCAGCACATGGGTTACCTATTATCCCACTCGTAATGCAGTGAACTTGTGACATGCTCTTTTTCTCTCTTTATTTATGTTTCTTCTAGACTGTTAGACACTAAATTAATGGAACAACATCAGGGAAAATTCTCTCAGATTCTAAGGTGAATCCCATTTCCAGAAGTTGGTAAGAAGTTGAAAAGAAAAAGCATTTTTTTCTATAATTAAACAGGTGCTGAAGCATTTTTTCACTGATCACTTAAATTCCATATAGTTCTTGTTTAGCACAGTGACCTAGAAAAATATTTCATTGAGACAAACATTTATCTGCCTGGGACGAACTGTACTTAGGATTCTTGCACAAACACTAACCAAGGCAGACACAGAGCTGTTCAGCTATACAATTAAACCCCAGAAGGTATAAAATGAGAGCTCTTGATAAGACATTTGTCATAAAAAAAGGTACACATTAACTACACGTTCTCATCTGACTCCTTTTTGCAATGAAAACTCAGCCTGACAGGAAGAATACAGCTTGTTATTGATCAGTTTTGGAGAATGTTCAACACCACGAAATAAACTCGATAGCAGGCCTGTCATCAGGCAGATTCCCGACTAAATGGCACTAGTTTCTGACAACAGAGGTATGGTTAAAGTTTGACATTTGAGGTAGCAGTTAGAGGTGAAAGCTGTTAGAGGTGGTTAGAGGATAATAATTTACCCTCATGAAGACAAAACATAACAATAACTGGATCACACCGAGGTCAGGATTTTACTTAATTATCCGAGAAGCCCTCTAATATCACCTGCAATAATAGACATACATAGCTTAAAGATATTTGCACTTTTTTGTGTTTTCTGAAACATATATTGTGCATTGCCAAGATATCGTCCTGTTCCCTGTATTGGAAATTCCACTAGGTCACATCTACAAGAGATTTAGTCTAAATGAATGATAATAAAAGGGTCCCTCTAGTTTCTAAATAGATTAAAAAAATATTAAAATCGTATTTTAATCTTTTTTAACGGTCTGGGTCAGATCTGCATATACATTCATACACATGGCGACAAAGCCCACACAATCACACAAATAAAACTGTCCACACAGTCCAAACCAAACCAAATTTTCATACTCAACACAACATCAGCAGAAAATACTTGACAGATGGTTTTGAAATTCATTAGCCGTGCTTAGATAAGTTCTGTTTGATTGCTGGATATGAAATTTTTTTTTCTTCTTAACTACTGTGCAATGTGACAAACAATATGTCCGGGGAAATTTGATTTGTATTAAAGTCAGAAAAACAGTTTTTGTGCTAAGTTATAATTCTCCAATTTATGACAGAAGTCCTTAGAAGTTATTTGCATAAGTGCTTTGAGGGAAACTTCTGGTAAATAATCAGTGAGTTGTTCACAGCCTCAGGCCATCATAAAGATTTCTTGATGATAGCCTGAGGCCCGCTCTGACCTACACTTGTCGCTAAAACATGGGGGCTTCTGCTGAACAAACAAGTCTGATGGAATTTTAAATCATTGTCGCTTGTAATGAGTAAAATTATACTCCTGAATTATTCTCCATGAACGCGCTGTTTGGATTTGAGCCTAAAACGTACAACTGAGATTCTGACCTTGCGTTTTCCATCAATCCTGTCTTTCTCCAGGAGACTGAAAGCTGGTCCGTGTCAGAATGAGTACAGAGAGGGGTGAACGGGTCATTGACACCTCCAGCACTACAGTCCATACAATGGGCAGACGAAGCAGTAAAGACAGGAGGCATCTCCGGCTCATGCATAAGGATGGCAGCTTCCCAGTGGTGTTCCAAAAGGCCCCGGGGGACTGGAGCCCATATTTTATGGACATCTTCACCACTCTTGTAGAGATCCGCTGGAGAGTGATGTTTCTCTTCTTTTCCCTTTCTTACATTCTCTCTTGGCTCTTTTTCGGCCTCTGTTATTGGCTCATCGCATATGTAAATGGAGACACTGTCACAATGGACAATGAGCCATGCGTGGAGAACGTGCGTGGCTTCACTGGAGCTTTCCTCTACTCGATGGAGACCCAGGCAACCATCGGCTATGGCTTCAGGGGAATGACGGAGAACTGCATTGTGGCGATCATTGTGGTGACAGTTCAAGATGTGTTCAGCTGCCTCCTTGACACAGTTGTCATAGGCATTGTTGTGGCTAAGATGGCGTCCGCCCGAAAGCGAGCCCAGACGGTGGGTTTCAGCAGGTTTGCGGTGGTCAACTTGCGAAATGGGGATCTGTGTCTGTCGTGGCGCCTTGGGGACTTCAGAGGTAATCACATTCTGGAGGGAATTGCTAAGGCCCAATTAGTCCGCTATGTGAAGAAGCCACTGGGTTCTGTTGTGATTTCATACCAGGACTTGGAGATCAAAGACCGGGACATCGTCCTTGTTACACCAACGACTATAATTCACAAGCTGGATTCAGGGAGTCCCTTGTACAGTTTGGGCCCCGATGAGCTACTGGAGGAGGACTTTGAACTGGTGGTTTCTTTCACCTACACAGGGGATTCCACAGGGATGCTCCACCAAACGCGCACATCCTACAAAGCAGCAGACATTCGCTGGGGCCAGCGTTTCCGGGATATGCTGAAAGTGGGCGGAAAGCACTATAAGGTGAATTATGCCCTGTTTAATGAGACCAACTGGGTGCCAGTGCCCATGCTTAGCTCAGAGGCTTACAACCAGGGGAGATCTCCTGCGGAGGGAAGTCCACCCTCGTCATCAGTAAAGACAAACGGCCACGTTTCCCAGGTCACTTTTGGCATCGTGGAAGAGGTGATGGCACAAACTAGTTTATAGTTAATAAAGTCATAACTGCCCACATTAAATTACTGATGACCTGCTGTCTTAAGAATGACAAAGTTGTTTCTTGCATACATGTTATTATTATTACACAATGTCCGTCATTTCATTTGTTTGTCGTTTTTATTGCATGGGAATAAATAAAAAAATTAAACTTCTGGTCATTCAGATTTTCTTCACATCAGTTGTAACAATACAGACAACCTCAGTGAAATATCTATGCTTTTGAGCTTCTGTTAGGAGAATGCCGCCACCTTGTGTTCATCTACTCCAGCCCTGGCTTTCACTGGGGGGCAGCTTCCGCCACACTCTGCTTCTCCTTATTTCATTCAATGTATCGATTTGGTATGAAGGAGGCTCTTATTTTGCGTATTACACCACTCATTCATTTTGGCGTCATATTGCCAAAGCTACGCAGAATCGTCCTCATCCGATCGCCATCTCTCAGCTCCCCAAACAGGCGCTGAAGCATCCCATTGGCCAGCGCAGCGACAGGGGGCGGGGCCGGGCACACGTGTTGGTAAAGTCTGTCTTCGGAACTACAACTATATTTGTCAGTGTCGCTGCATAGGGTTATGGCAGAATTTAGAGCAAACGGGGCAACAGGAGGGTTTCCCAAAAGTGAACGAGTAACAGAGAGGAAGTGTGGCAATCTGACGCAGATAGGAGTTATCACGACAAGAGAAGATCAGGTTTCCGCAGCAAGCGCCAACAGGTAGGCGGAATCTTTGCCGTTTTTGGAAATATAACGGTTCATTTTCAGATGTGTGTTCTCATTTCTCCAAGTTCAACGCCATGCGTTGTGAGGAAGATTTTTCTTCACCTCTAAACGTTGCAGTTGTTCATCCTATGGCAGCCTAATATACATTACTAATATTTCTATCATCAATACAAGTGGAATCTCCTTTAGAACTTTCAGGATGTGGACTGAGTTTTTCTTCGCAGTCCCTCCATAAACCAAGAAGTAAACTCTCATTCATAATATCCAAAACCACAATTAGTAGCCTAACAATATTTTTAAAGTGAGTAATTTTTCCCTCCATCATAGATATTGAAATATAGAAATATTTGATAAATCAACAATTTATTTGAAGGGGTTTTAATCTAAGTTACTGCTGGATGCTTGTCCATAGCTATTGATTTGTGAATTGAAAAAAAGGAGTGGCTTTATGTAACCACTTTCCATCTGCCTCAGCTAAGAACTCATGCAAAACAAACAGTCCCAGTCTGTGCAGACTCTGCCAGCCCTCATGTGCCACCATCAAACAATCTCAATGACGAATGTGACAGTAGCAAGTACCATGGTGCAAACTGAGAGAGGCTGTAACAGATATAATCTTAAAAATCTAAATTCCTATTTCATGTGTACATTTGTTACAGTCATAGTACACCAAACTGCCAAAAAGAAAAGTGGGATATTGGAGTTTGGCAATTAAGTAGTCAAAGTTCCCTATGGCAAGTCTTTATCTAAAAAAAAAATCTTGATTTATTACAAATATTAAGTTTCTTTTTCTCAAGAGAAAGATAGCAAATTGCAAAACTGATTTAGTGACCCATTTTTAAATTTTTACATTTTCTTTTACATTTCTAGAGTGGTTTTATAGTTGAAAAATAAACTTATGAGAACTTGTGAAAAAAAAGAAAAAATCCATTATTATTTCCTGTATTCCTTTAATGAATCAACATTGGAAGAGTGAAGAAAATACTAAACGACTTTCAGATTTAATTCATGAACCTATTGCACTTGGACATATTAATTAAACTCAGATGAGATTTGTTCAAATTGGAAGTGAGGTTATTTTGGCACTAGCAGAGCAGATCAGGCAGTCCAAAGCCTTTTGTTGCCTGTGGTGCTGCATTTTAATGGACCTCATGCCACATACACCAAGTCAATATGTTTTCTAACTCAACTGTCCTTGTTGCTCAGTTACATATAATACAAGGTTATTTGTTCATTAATTGTGCTTCATTGTAACTAGCAGTCAAAGCTACAGAGATTAAATATGACGACTACTGTATTCAAATCTAAATTTGTAATATATATGCCACTCATTGTGTTCAGTTTGTTTGAGCAGAGTTTAGAGACACATCAGAGATGCTATTTGTTCAGTGTGTTTGTTGCAGAGACTCGTTGGAATATAATGAACTTGAACTGTAACGTGACTCGGTTCTTCATACGACCTCCCTAATTTATAAATATATCAAGCCACTGAAGTCAGGCAGCCAAATCTTTAATCTATGACTGATGTTAGACTCCCAATAAATTCAGTTTGCCCTTTTTGGATTTTTTTGCACACTATTCTGTGTAATGTGCAAGGCTCATGCCACTGATACAGATTGTATAATGTATTATTTAGACTCTATGTAACCAAACACTCAGGTGCACTGTTCTTAGTTCTTCTTCCTGCCAATTACTTTAAAACAGTATTTCTCTCTGTAATTCCCACAGCCCACTTCACTGATGAGGTTCAAATCAACCGTCAGAGCGGAGTGAGCTGCCCTCACCAACAGTGCAGTGCACTTCCAGAAACACAGGCCCAGTTTTCCTTCCATCCCGCAGGATTAAGTCCTGTTGTCTCCATTTTCTTCTTCAGTTTGTTCACGGGAGCATTCAAAACTGTTTCTCCAACGCTTCTACCAAAAACTCAGACTGTTTTCCAAAGCAGAAGCGGCCCAGCCCCCCCAGATGGAAGTGATGGGGAGTGTGCGAAGCCACCGCTACAGCATTGTGTCCTCTGAAGAGGACGGCATGAAGCTGGCAACCATTGCCGTCCCGAATGGATACGGAAATGGCAATTTGAACAAGGGACACGCAGTACACCAGCATCAGAGCCGCTTTGTCAGGAAGGATGGCCACTGCAATGTGCAATTTATCAATATGAGCGAGAAGGGCCAGCGGTACCTGGCAGATATCTTCACTACTTGTGTGGACATTCGCTGGCGCTGGATGCTGCTCGTGTTTTGTCTGTCCTTCCTGTTGTCCTGGTTGTTATTTGGCTTTGTCTTCTGGGTAGTAGCCCTCTGTTATGGGGACTTAGAAAACGAAACTCAAATCTGCGTTTCCAATGTGGACAGCTTCACGGCTGCCTTTTTATTCTCAGTTGAGACCCAAACCACAATTGGCTACGGTTATCGCTACGTGACGGAGGAGTGCCCCATTGCTGTTTTCATGGTGGTATTTCAAAGCATTGTGGGCTGCATCATTGATGCTTTTATCATTGGTGCCGTCATGGCTAAAATGGCAAAGCCCAAAAAGAGAAACGAGACCCTGGTGTTCAGCCATTTTGCCACCGTGGCCATGAGGGACGGTAAACTTTGTCTCATGTGGCGAGTGGGGAACCTGAGGAAGAGTCACCTGGTGGAGGCCCACGTAAGGGCCCAGCTCCTCAAGTCCCGCACCACTGCGGAGGGAGAGTTCATCCCTCTGGACCAGGTAGACATCGATGTTGGCTTTGATAGCGGCATCGACAGAATCTTTCTGGTGTCTCCAATTACGATCGTGCATGAGATAGATGAGGACAGCCCTTTCTATGAGATGAGCAAACAGGAGTTGGAAACGTCAGAGTTTGAGATTGTGGTGATTCTTGAAGGCATGGTTGAGGCTACTGCCATGACCACTCAGTGCCGGAGCTCCTATGTGGCTAGTGAGATCCTCTGGGGCCACCGCTTCGAGCCGGTGCTCTTTGAAGAGAAGAACTACTACAAAGTGGACTACTCACGCTTTGAGAACACCTACGAGGTGCCCAGCACACCCAGCTGTAGTGCCAGGGAACTGGCGGAGAAGAAGTCCAATGCTTCCAGCTTAAGGAACTCCTTTTGTTATGAAAACGAAGTGGCTCTTGAAAAAGTTGAGATGGAGGAGGAGTTTGAGGACAGGGAAAACAAGCTGATGAAGGATGATGAGGTTGGTGGATTTGAGGACACAAACACAGATCTGGTTTCGGATTCTGAATGCAACCTGGACTCTTTGCCTTTAGAATCAATGCCTTTGACGGCAGAATCAGAAATATGACAGCAGGTGTAAAGAATCAAGGGAAATGTCACAGTTTTCTTCTACTTTAGTCCTGGTTGCTGTTAATAATTCATGGCAGTATGTAGAAGAATGTCATTTGAGTGTGAAATTCTGATTGCTAAAGTCAATGTTCAACACACCACGGAAATATAAACTTGTATATTTCTGGTAAAAGTGGTGATAAATGAACTCTTTGCATAGAGCAACAGGGAAGAAGAGGGTTACATCCCATGAAAAACAAAGTGAAGCGTGCGCTGTTAATACAGGATCAGATGGAAAATGTTTTAGTTTTAATAGCCAGTTTGGTTAAGAGTAAAATGTAGTTCATGTGTTCGGCTGCATATTCCCAGTTTGCACTTTTAGGATTTCGCATCCTGAACTTAATGTCTTTGTGGGATAGATGTCAAACCAGGTTGTGACTATCACAAAAAATAAAAAATAAATAAAATAAATAATAGCTAAACATAAATATTTGAGTATGGTAAATGCCAATTCAAATTAATTATTCTTTTTAAACATGAATTTGTGTTTGAAAGGCTATCAAGTAAAACCACCGGCACAAAAATAAGGTGTTTGTTAATGAGCTGGTCTCTTAGCAAAGTCTATTCAGTCAACTTCACTGTGTTGATGGGATGGCAGATTAAAATAGAGTACAACACACTCCTCAACCTATCATCTTTGTCGGTGTGCAGAATCTTTTGCAACGTGTGCCTTAGTAAAAGTCTTAGTCCCTGTAAAGGCACTCGGGTGGTTGGCTTTGAATTAGCACACACTGCATTAGATCTGACTGGAGGAAGAAGCATTTTGATGTAAATCATTGTGCAGATTGCTGCCGCCTCTTAAAGGTTTTGTGTTTTAATGTGCAATAATGTTCAGTAGTAGGAAGATGCAGGAAGCTCGACCCTGAGCCAAGGCTATGAATGTTGATAAGTGCTGCTAAGTTACATATTGTATGTTTAGACAGTCATTTTGAGCCAAAATGTATTAATTGTCTTTTGTTTTATTCTGAAGATTGCAAATGCAGACTGTAGTGTTATTTCTAGCCGTAGACGAGCATGATTCTATCAAGTGTGTTTTCCAAAATCTTTGTGGACTTTCTTCCTCACCCAAAATTTATCTTCCGTGAGAGGAGTAGACACTGTTTTATTACCCAAAGCCAGATGTACATATATATGTATATATATGGATGTGAAAATGCTGAGTTAATTCAATTGATTTTAACATAGTTGACTTTATATAAACAGCAGTGTTCTTTGCAAGCGAGATGTGCAGAATTTGGACAAATCCTTTCCATTCACCACTCCACCTCTGATGGGGTTATTTTATAATGGATTCTTGCTTTCACTTGTTAAAGAGCAACTTTTCTTACCACACTCACAATCAGAAATCATGAAGGGATGAAAGACACATTGCTTTAGTCTTATGCAAGATTTAACTTTCCCAACTCTTGGTGTTCTTGGTTCACACTCAAGCTGGATGATTTCAGCTGATGCCAGAATATTGCAGTGCTTCTGTTTTAGGTTTTTATTTTTCTATTTTTCTTCAGTTGTCTTCCCATTTTGCTCCTGAAACGGACTGTACAGATTTTTTAAAAAATGTTTTGCAAATACTGTATAGTGATATTGCAGTTATTCAAAACCGTTTTGTCCTTTTTTTTCAATAAAACACTCAAACAAAATCAACATGACGTTGATGCATTACTAAAACATCACCTCATGATGGTATTGTGTGTGCATCTCCGAGAAATGATTGTCGAGTCATCCATTTGTGGTAGTCCACCTCTCCTATCAACCCAAAGAATGTCGATTATAATTAAAGGAAAACAAATTCCAATCATACACTTTGACCCCAATTGTTTGACATCTGGAGCTGCCGAGTGGAGGCTTGTGTGACACAGATGCTGCCACTCTAATTTGGATTCGTGGCCCAAATTCCAGACTGCTGTCAGAGCTCACACTTTAATTTACTATTATTCAGCGAGCTGTCTCACACCAGCACTGTGAAATCCCACTAAAATGCTGTGCTGTATCAGTCAACTCTGCTGGAAGTCATTTTCAATGACAGCAATGGAAAGAATGTTTAATGTGTTTTTCTCAGTCTCCTTGAGTAAACAGTGGAAAGGACGTGTATTCTGCACAGCAGAATGTTTTGAAGAAAAGGTGTTAATGTACTGAATAAGCTGAAGAGCACAGAGCCATTTTTGTTTCCTGATCATCTTATGTTTCACACAAAATCAAAAATCTGTCTCAGAATTAATAGATTTGGATGGTAAATGTTTATACACAACCACATGGATACGTTACATAACAAACCTATTCTCCAGTGGGGGACTTCAGCCTGTGTTATGTGTTCAATCACAAGCTCCTCTAATTCAGTATAAACATGCACAAAAATGCAATCAATCAATGCATGTGATCAATGGAGCTGTACCATAGATGAACCATTGTTTTAAGTATAATACATCTGTTTGCAGTTTGACTTATTTTCCATGCACTGCAGCATTCTGGCTGCATAGACTACATGTCAGAATGCAAGTGATTGATCGGTTACATCCGCAGGGAGACAGCATGCCGATTGGATTTGTTTCTGAATAGGAAGTGGGTGCTGCCTGTGGGCTTTTTCCACATTAGCCAATGAAAATGCCACAAACCTTCAGTTTGGAAAGAAAAAAAAAAAAGAGGGCGTGTCCATTTTTTCCATTTCAAAAAAGAAATTTTAGGTTCATTCTCAGAATGACTTCGATTCATTGGAAGGGGGTCACACTTTGCCTTCTTTTTGCATTCTTGCAGTAGCAGTTCTTTCAACCAGTGAATAAACAAATGAATGAGTAATTATATTAATACAATTATTTCAGATAACTGCAATAACTCCTAAAACATCTGCAAAAAACATTTAACTGAATAACACAGTGGTCATTCAGTGCGTGCCTGGTGCATTGTTTGAAAGAAATTGACTACCAGCCGCTGAGTTCCTGTCGATGATGTCGATGACGTCTCTTTAGCGAATTCCCTCGAACTGGCTCATTAATTATGCACTGACCTGCCTGACCTTCTGTTTAATTAGGTGAATCTAAACATGAACAACTCTGCAGCAGAGTACAGTGACACAGATAACAGCTTGAACTCTACATCTGCTTCGCGTTTAATCATTTTTTAGTTCTGTTCAGATAAAAAGACAAAAGTCAACTTCATGCTTCAGATCGTTGACATAAACTACTAAAACGTAAATGTATCGTCTGATTTCCCCTCCTCTCTGATCTCATAAAAGTGGAGACAGAAATTCTTTATCTCAGCAAGGCATTTAGAGATTATCTCTACACATAATATAGTGTTTTAGAATGGCAGGCATATTTATTGCTGAGGAGAAAATGAGTGAAATCTGGACAGAGTTTCTCCTGTGCATATTTATATCAAACTATAATTTATTTTTTAAAAAAGTATCTCTTCTCTTGAATGCTACATTCAAAGCGTATTGCTTTATGAATAGCTGTATGTGTTTTGCCTGAAATTATGTATTAAGTAAGTAACTTTTCCTCAGGACAAGTTGTGACTATTCAACATAATGCTAATCATGTCATGGTTATTTTGATGCTATATTATGATTTGCTACTGGAGAAAATGAGATAAAACAGTGGTTGAACCTTATTACCACACAAGAACACAGAAAACCTTCTGGCTAAAATTGTTGTTGAATTTGTGTGTAGGAATGAAGGCATTTAGTATATAGTATGTAGCAATGTAGCATCTAGTGTGTGTGTATATACACACACACACACACACACATATATATACACACACGCACACATATTGCTTTTTACTGAAAAGCTTTTCAGTGACGACTCAGTCATCACTAAACATTCAAGATAGTTGAAATGACATCTTACCTCCACACAGCACCACACGGGCCACAGCCTTTGATCTGATAAAGTAAAAAGAGTGGGGATACGGTCATCATAGCTAGAATTCTCTATTACAGTTAAATTCTTTATTTTTAAACTCTGTCTACAGTTTGAGTTAAAGACACGCAAATAAACTGGTGCAAGTGCAATTAAATCGAGTGAGATAATGACATAATTGCGATGACATAGGTATTGCATAAGTCCTACGGTGAGACTGATGGCGTATTGGAGACGAGCTGTTCAGCAAGCAAGCAAATGACGGTAACAGACTGATGGCGTGAGGGTGTGAATATCTACATCTTTTAGCTACAAGGTTAAATCTGATTAGTCTTTGGTGACCCCACAGTACCAGAAATGTTAATGCATTTGAGAAAGCAAATGTGTTCTAATTCTGTGCCAGTGTCCTCCGGGTTAGAGGAAGCAGACAGCCTAGAGTAACTCATTTTGTCAGCAAATTGAAACTCTTAAACACATATATGGATATCCGGGGGACTTTTTCTTTTTGCATTCAGGGAATATTCTTGCCATTCAAACAACTTAGTTTGTTGCAGTTAAACTAGCTATGGATGCATCACACAAACTCTAATACCCCATTACTGCAGTCAGTTACACTATTTCAGCCGACAGGTTAAAAAGCATACAAAACTGAAAGGCATACAAACATCCCAGAATCCTCTATTGGTGTGTATGATTGCGTGTATGAAGTGGATTCCTGCCGAGTATTTCATGAACCCCTATCAATCTACTTTTTTAAAAGCAGGACTCGGTATTCCAACTATTTGTTGTGTGTTATATATTGATAGAAATACACCAGCTATTGTCATGTTTGTCATGTAATACAAAATTGCCAAAACTAATGTGGATATTTTATGCCAAATCTCACTTACGTATTTGCCATTTTCGTATGCTTTTCCTTGCCATGAATTATTTATTGTTTCATATTCTGAACTATAGTAACCCTAAACTGCATGTGCCCAAACACACACACACCAACTGACACTCATGTTGGCTGCATCTTTAACAGCTGGGCATCTCATGGCACTGAGGAGAGGAGTATCAAGAAGGTATAACATGTTGGACGAGATTCAGCCTTTTTCCATTCCCCCTGTCCTGCTGAAAGACAATATGTGTATTTGTTTGCTCTTAGTGTGTGGCCACAGAAACAACAACAGGAAAAATGCTCTGCACTCAGCTTACAAACAGTCATACATATTTTTGAGCTGCTTCTTAAATTACCTTACTGCTATCATTGTGTTTTTCCTTGGAATGCAAACGCATATATATATTATTCAGAGACTGTCTGCAAACATTTTCATTTGGTCGGACGCTTACAAACTTTTAACATTGCTATTTCAAAGTCAGTAACTGTGTCTATTCAAGCCCCTGACCTTTTTGCTTTAAGCTCCGGGTCTCTGATCAGACATAATATACTCCAAGCCAAGAAGTGATCATGCTTATAGTTGGCCCCTGACCATCTTTTATTAAGAGGGCTTGGCTCTATTTGGTAAGCTGGGGATGCATTGGCAAACAAAGCAACATTATCTAACAAAAAGATAACACAATCTTCATTTTCTGAGCTGAGTGATGTCTGTAACTCACTGACCTTTTTCTACCAATCCCTGCTTGGTCGGCCAGCCATTATCATCGCAAATGACTTCCCCAATGCTTCATGTCATCTATATAATGCCCTCTCTACTAAATATTCTTTATAAAACTCTGTTAACCTGTCCAAAAGATTTTTTTAAATGTTGAAATATCTTAAGACATCAATTCTATGGAGTAGGACAGCCTCTATGTGCTATTTAGAAGATTAAATGGACCAATACCTGCTTGAAATTAATCCAATTGTGAGGAGTGGACTGATGAAAAGAGAAAGGCAAGCAAACACGAAAAGTTAGCCTAAAAATTAAAAGTCGCTTAACCGAGCAGAGGCGTCAGCTAATAGAAGCTGGATTGGGACAGCTTGAAGTCTCAGAAGCTAAATCCTGGCTGCTAGGATTCACCTTTGCTGAGGACTGGCCACCAGCCACGAGGACTGGGCTAGAACAGGAAGCAATCCATTTGCTACTGGTTAATCAGCAAATTTCTAGTGTATTAGCCTATTTATCAATTTCTTTTTATGAAACGTAATAAAAGTGTAAAACCATAGCTATCCTAAAGCCACCAGAAATGTCAATTCTGACGAAAATGAAAACAGGTAATTCACTGGACTGACTTGTGAACAGAGACTTAAAACATGAGAACAGCCTCCAAAGCAACAGTGACAAAAAATAAAATCCCAAAGTACATGTATAACAACAGGGTTATATCAAGGTTGGAGAATTTTAAGGACAGGGGATACTTGAGAGGAGCCTGTTTATGGGGACAGCTGAGAAGAGATGGATGCCTCTGAACTGTGTCCAGCCCTTGCTACAAAGGTTAGCATCAATCCAATCCTGACAGCCTCTATATTCAAATCCCACCAAGCTGCTGTTACTGGGAGAGCAGACAGTGTATGCTTACTTATTTCTACTGACATCAACTAAACTGCAAACTATGTATCTTTATCATGAATGTATGGTTACTTTTTTCAAGTTTTCTATTTGATCTGTTTTAGACTTTAATGTATGATTTTCAGGAGCTAGAAGGCAACAAGAAAGACGCTCCCTCCATTTTTCTCAGTCTTGCCCTGGTGATGATTATCTTTGACATATTAGTTTCTTTAACCACATAGATTATTTCATGTTCAAACAACCTAACCTTTCATTGGA